CCAGGCGAGGCAGTCATTAGAGTTGTATTACAACTGTAGCAGGTCAATCCTTCTCCTGGGGGTATGCTGGGTGTTCCGCTTTCTGTTCCAGCCCAGCACTAACACACCTGATTCAACTTATCAAACCTAATGAGTTGATAATAATGTGTATTAATGATGGTCTGGAATAGAAGTCTGCTCACCCAGTAGATCAGGGTGTGGAGCAAGGTTGGCCACCTCTGGTATGGACTTTTCTGTTCACCCAAAATTATGCTTTAGTAATAATAGCCTACTTACTAAGATGTCTAACATTTACAAACAAGTTAGATTATTTGTACATTTTGAAATTATATTTTGATTAATTAAATGTTGATTAATTGAAGTGAAGTGTTTAAACTTGTTTTAATTGTTAACTTAAAAACATTATTCAAGATTAACTAGTGTCAATGTTCATTCATCACAGATCACAATTCTGCAATAAAAAGGTGTGAAGGGGATCTGTCTCTAATTTGTCTGTGATTCTGTGTGGTATTCTCAAATGAACATGTCCAGTTGTGAGCTCTCCAATCGGTTTTATTTGATTGTCACTCTGTCTCAGGATATCAGCCATGTGAACCCATTTAGCAGCTTATCATAATGGCATGCATCACCAATGCAGTCATAGGCCTACAGTATGATGGCATTACCGGCCTAATGGGCAAGTGCAATCAATGTGCACCTTGTCATTCTACATCTGAAGCAGAGAATAGCTAAACTCACAACTCATTTGTATATTGATTAGCTATATGTTCTCAATTTAAAATGATAGACGTAGATAATGTATATGAGGCTAATCATAAACCAGATTTTCTACATGATTTTTCTGACATGAAATTGTTTAGTGAAAATCCAACCCTTGTAGTCTAGGTACAGACCTGTTCATGAAAATAAGGAGCTGGCCATTTGTAGGCTATTTAGAAATGTCAAAAAGGAAAATAATGTGGCTTGGGGAGCATTGTAATTCTACCTCGTTTATTTGCCATGAATGATTTTAGAATACAGAGACAAAATCAGAAGGTCAATGGTATGGAGGAGGATTGCAGAGATGTGTCACAGTGTCATTGTAATGCGTTAGACGAAGTCAGGCGCAGGACACAGAACTAAATGAAAACTTAACTTTACTGAACACGTAAAAAAACAAGTAAACCTCCACGCAGGGAGGAACAAACCCGCTCACCAACGACACACGAAACAAACACGCACAGAGCTCAATGGGAGCCACAGGGTTAAATAGGGACGGAGTAATTACAAGATGGGAAACAGGTGTGAAACAATTAGACAACAACATAGAAACATAGAACATAGATCCGCAGCAGCTAGTACTCCGGTTACGACGAACGCCGAAGCCTGCCCGAGCAAGGAGGAAGGGCAGCCTCGGCAGAATCCGTGACAAGATGTTGGTCTTGATGGTGGGTAAAGATAGATTTGCAAAGCCACAATTTCCCGCACCCAAATTACCCATTAATGTGAATGTAGGCCAATGTATTTTACAGGAAGTGAGCAAAAATTATCACTGTCATGACACAAGTATAATGAAAGCGCTGCTCACCTTCCCACAATCCCCTGCTCAATGCTCTGCGTGCTCCCATTGAAAATGAATGAGGACTGAACTTCGTCTGGCGAATTCGGAAGTGGTGGAAACCCTAAGTAAGTTACTTGAATCTGGCTTATTGTGAGGTTAATAAGTCTGATAAATAGCTTCATCATGAAACATAGTTTTTATTAAAATAAATTATAGATCATTTGATGGAGACAAAGCTAATAGCCTATAGGCACACTTGATATTGCATGCCCAGCGGAGAATGAGAGATGAGGAGCGGCATCAGGCACACATCGATATATAGCCTAATAAGCAACTAATTCTAAAACAGAGAAATATAGACATTTCATCAATTACAAATTACATGACCCTCCCCTGGACTAGACTACAAAAATACTAAACCATCCCCCTGACTGAAATGTAAAAAGCATGACCCACCCCCATTTTCCTCCAGTAACCCATTCTGTACATTTCGAACCAACCCTTATTCCACATTTTGTTGCGTTACAGCCTGAATTCAAAATAGATTAAATCGATTTTTGGTGGTGGCAGCATCATGCTATGGGGATGCTTTTCAGCGGCTTGGACTGGGAGACTGGTAAGGATAGAGATAACAATGAATGGAGCCAAATAAAGGCAAATCCTTGATGAGACCCGCTTCAGAGTGCATATGACCTTAGCCTGGGGGCAAAGATTTAAGTTCCAACAGGACAATGACCCCAAGCATACAGCCAAAGCAACACTGGAATGGCTTCAGAACAAGAATGTGAAAGTCCTTGAGTGGCCCAGCCAAAGCCCAGACTTGAATCCCATTTAAAATTGGTGGAAAGACTTGAAGATGGCTGTTCACTACCGCTCCCCATCTAACTTAACAGAGCTTGAGAAAATCTGCAAGAAAGAATGAGAGAAAATCCCCAAATCCAGATGTGCAAAGCTGATAGACATAACCAAGATGACTCAAAGCTGTAATTGCCGCCAAAGGTGCTTCTACAAAGTATTGACTCAGGGGTATGAATACTTATGTAAATTAGTTATTTCTGTATGTCATTTTCAATAGATTTGCAAACATTTCTAAACATGTTTTCACTTTGTCATTATGAGATTTCAAAAAATATTTAATCCATTCTGAATTCAGGCTGTAACAACAAAAAGTGTAATAAGTCAAGGGGTATGAATACTTTCTGAAGGCACTGTATATACAACAGTACAATCCACTAGAATACAGTTAAATCAACTAGCCATGGTAATTTGGCAAAACCATGCATAACTGTACATGCTGGACATACAACAGATTTATTTTCATAATGAAAACTAAGTGGGGTCTGATTCTGACAGTTCTAAGTAATTGATAATATTCCATAAACCCAATATTCCATTCCAGATCCAATGATTCCACATTAACCTCTTCCATTGAGGGAGTAACACAGTATAACCAGATCATGTAGGCTATGAAAAGACCAGTCAGTTCATATTTCATCTGTTCCAACTCCATCTCAATAGTCTGTAGTATACTGTTGTAGTGTACTCTGTAGTGGATTCTGTAGTGTTGTTGTTGCTGGATCACTAATGCTCTTTGATTTGACAGACCCCCTCACAGGAACCAAATGTGTGTGATTTGACTGGATGTCTGAAGTGTTTTTTTTAAAAAAATTCAGTATAAAGACAGGCAGTTGAAGTCAGGCAGGGGTGGAAAGAGCACTGAAAAACACTACTTAAGTAGAAGTACTGTTACTTTAATGACATTTTACTAATATGCAAGTAGGATTTAACCTAGTACAAAAAGTGTGCTCCAGAGACATGAAGCCTACCTGCACCTGAAATTATGATAATGAACATTTGGGACTGCTTGATGACAGTATAATTAATTTCAGCACTGGGTTTGACATAGTCATGACATTTATCCTCCAGATATTTCACAACGCTATGGATATCCTTTACCAAATGTCTGTAGTTATCACATTTGCATTTTAAATTACACTACATGACCAAAAGTATGTCGACACCTGCTCGTCAAAAATCTAATTCCAAAATCATGGGCATTAATATGGAGTTGGTCCCCCCTTTGCTGCTATAACAGCCTCCACGTTTCTGAGAAGGCTTTCCACTAGATGTTGAAACATTGCTGCGGGGACTTGCTTCCATTCAGCCACAAGAGCATTAGTCAGGTCGGGCACTAATGTTGGGTGATTAGGCCTGGCTTGCAGTCGGCATTCCAATTCATCCCAAAGGTGTTCGATGGGGTTGAGGTCAGGGCTCTGTGCAGGCCAGTCAAGTTCTTCCACACCGATCTCGACAAACCATTTCTGTATGGACCTCGCTTTGTGCACGGGGCATTGTCATGCTGAAACAGGAAAGGGTCTTCCCCAAACTGTTGGCACAAAGCTGGAAGCACAGAATCGTCTAGAATGTCATTGTATGCTCTAGCGTTAAGATTTCCCTGCACTGGAACTAAGGGGCCTTTCCCGAACCGTGAAAACCAGCCCCCAGACCTCCAACTTTACAGTTGGCACTATGCATTGGGGCAAGTAGCGTTCTCCTGGCATCCGCCAAACCCAGATTCAGCCGTCGGACTGCCAGATGGTAAAGCGTGATTCATCATTCCAGAGAACGCGTTTCCACTGCTCCAGAGTCCAATGGCGGTGAGCTTTACACCACTCCAGCCGACACTTGGCATTGCGCATAGTGATCTTAGGCTTGTGTGTGGCTGCTTGGCCATGGAAACCCATTTCATGAAGCTCCCGACGAATAGTTATTGTGCTGACATTGCTTCCAGAGGCAGTTTGGAACTCGTGAGTGTTGCAACCGAGGACAGACGATTTTTACGCACTTCAGCGGTCCCGTTCTGAGCTTGTGTGGCCTACGACTTCACGGCTGAGCCGTTGTTGATCCTAGATGTTTCCACTTCACAATAACAGCACTTACAGTTGACCAGGGCAGCCATACCAGGGCAGAAATTTGACGAACTGACTTGTTAGAAAGGTGTCATCGTATGACGGTGCCACGTTGTCACTGAGCTCTTCAGTAAGGCCATTCTACTACCAATGTTTGTCTATGGAGATTGCATGACTGTGTGCTTGATTTTATACACCTCTCAGCAACAGGTCTGGCTGAAATCGCCAAATCCACTAATATGAATGGGCGTCCACATACTTTTGTATATATAGTGTATGTCAATGATTGAGCCTAATCTGTTTTATGTCCTCAGTAGCAGTCATGTCATTTGTTGTTAATTGACTTTGGGCCAGTTAGCCATTCCCAGATTAAGCCTAAAAAAAGTGTGCATTTTACCATTCATGTTCCAGTTTTACTTAGTCAATGCTGTATGCATCCTCTCAGCAAAACTCCTTTGGAAATACGTTTGTTACACCCACCACATTTTTGTTGCTGTGTAAAAAGCATTCATAGCCGAAACAAACACCAGGGATCACTTCCTCAACACAAAGGGACTTTTATTTCAAGGACATATGTAACACTATTGTTAATTCCTTCCATGAAACCATCGGATGCCTGGTAGACATCTTAGTAGTATGATCCACTTATGTTTCTATTCAGTAGAAAGGAAATGGAAAGATTATGATATAACGCTATATTTTGACACTTGATCTACCATTACAAATGTATACAATATTTGTAAAAAACAATATGCAATCACATTTCTCTAACAGAAATCTCAATCCAGCCAGCATCACTCATTAAACTATTGCATCATTCTGAAAAGATGTACAGATTTCTTAACACTCAGTATCTATTTACATGGGAATGTTCGAAGACATAAGATTGTTCCTAAATAAATTACAGATCCAATGCAACATCATCCATGCAAGCTTGAGTGCTAGCTATGAGTGGAGAGACCTATATGAGGAAGAAAAAAAAACTAGGGCAAGTCAGTGCATGGTTTAGTATTAGATGGCGTCCATGCCCCGTGAGAATGAAGAGCCGAAGCCTAGTCCCATGCCTCTCTGAGTGTGGGTCTGGGACCTGGCCATCTCGTACTGAACGTCAAGGTTATGGAACATCTCCTCCTGCTGCTGCAGGGTCTTCAGGCCTTGGTCGTTTAGTGGCTTTGAGGCCTCACCTTCCTCTTCCCCCTGGCAGGACAGACATCACAGTGTTAGAAATACAAGGCGCTGCGCAGCATGGTACACATTCAACTGAGAAAATAAAAGGACACTGTTATACATACTTTGATGCCCATCAGTTTACGAAATTTAACATTTTGGTCCTTATTTCCAAAGTTCAGCTTCTCCCACAACTCAGCTGTCTGGGACTTGTCCTTCAAAACCAAACAATTTGAATGTATTAGTAATTTGCAACAATCGAGCCACCATGAGCGGAGTTGCATGTTTTTCTCCAAACGTTTTCTTTTCATTAAGTCACTAGTTGTACATTCCGGACATAACAAAGCACAGTAAAGATAATCTGCTCCATCAAATAATAAACAGCATAGACTTATTGCACTACATTTTCTGTTTACTGTACAAGGAATTCAAAAATAAAATCTTACCCCTTCCTTCTTTCCCTGCCAGAGCTTCTTCCTTTTCTTCTCCTGCTCAGCAAACTTCATGGGGTTGACAGCAGAGGGATTGTAATAGCTGGGCACAGCAATGCCAGTCTCTGCTAAGGTTTTGGCTTGTAGGGCTGCCATCTGCGCTGCCATGGCGATCTGGGGCGTGACCTGGGTCCCAGAGGCCAGGAGAGCTGCCACGTTGAGGACAGGGTTGGTAGCAACTGCAGCGGCAACTACTACTGTGTCAGACAGCAGGGGGGCTGGAACTAAAAACGATACAAAAAACAAGGTTAGTGACCAGCTTCTATGGTTTAACTCAATTTGAAATGCAATTGATAGCCGAGGAGTGTCTCACCTGCAGGTACCTCCTGATGCTGCTGTTTCTCCAACATCTCTTTTTCTTTCTGCTCTTGCAGTTTCTTTGCCCTTTCCAACCTGGAGATATAGAGCAGAGTGAAGGGTGTTCATATTTGTCAGCCAGGCTTTAGGAGCAGAATGATAGATTGTCCACTATCTAATCGAGATACTCAAGAAACTAATCATGAGCCTCGCAGTACCTCTAAGGGTGTTTTCACATATAGTCATCTTTAAAAGAATCGATCTCAGTCCTCTTTAAAGTGAACTCTGGGGTAAATAAAAAAAGCAAAAGAACTCAGAGATATAAGATAACGCTGCAGACGTTTTTGTGAGAAGACATGGTCTTACAAACACCGCTCTAGCTCTGCCACCTTTCACCGCAGATGCAGAAGGGCGATATCTGCGGATGTGGTGGATTGAGACGCAGCCCATGCAAAAATACATATCTCTAGTTTAAACAGACAGATTTTGATGGGGATTTTCTATTATGTTTATTCGTTGTAGGCTAAGGGTTAACATGTAAATATTATTGGTAAGAGAATAAATAGCAATAGAATAACTGCAGATTAAATATTGATGTAACTGAACATTTTACTACTGCCCCTTTAAGAGCTAGAATATATTTTGTACCCTATGTTCTGATTCTCACCAAATATGTCATCTTCTCACACTATTAAAACCCCACAATCAATAAACAGTTTATGACACTCTCTTAGCCTATAGATCACATATTGCAAACAAATAAACTGAACTAAAAACTCCACACATTTTGGAATTTCTGTGCATCCTTGACAATCGCTAATCAATATCCAAAAACAGAAAACTTTTCTCTGCAAAGCTGCACATCATCATCTCTCTTTTGTGGCACCAATGTGAGAGTTTATGGCAGGGGAAACGGTGTTGCAGTAGTCTAGTGCGGTGCCGGAATAATGACAAGCGAACCTGGGGAGCTTTGTGTTCACAATAGAACCGGGCCGGCAGAATTCAAGCGAACCGAACTCAGACCACCTCTCGAGATGGTCTCTGTTCGGTTTGAATCGGGGGGCTCTTTTGAGAGGTCTGAGTTCCTTTGGAGTGTTCACACAGCACAAAATATTAAGCAAAACCACACTGAGTTCACAAAATTGTGCTGAAAGGGACCAAGTGTGAAAACATCCTAAGATGCTGCGGTACCTTCTGGCCAGGGCCTCTTGTGCATCCATGGCAGTGTTTCTGCCCCGGAAAGCCTGGGGGCTCACAGATCTGCTACGACTCTTCTCTTTTCTGTGCACTTTCTCTGTCTTCTTCTTCCGCTCCCTAAAAGAGACATTATAGCATTTCAAGGTCCACAGAAAGATATGCATTCAGTCACACACAACACAATTTAACAGACACATGGTTACTAACTTACAAAGAGTGGCAAATTTGAGGCACACAGGAGTGGTTACTAAAGACAAACAGACAATGGTTGGGAGAGAAGCAAGCGAAACCCACCTGCTTTTGCGGCGGTGTTTGGTCTTTGAACCCGACCGGGACCTGGCCCTCTTCTTCTTCTCCCGCGGGGACCGCGATCTCCGTTTGTCCCGACTTCTGCTGCGACGTCTAAAACCGTACAAAAATACATGTTTTATTCTTATAAAAGAAAACATGCAACTCACTCTCCCCAGTTTACTGTGACCAATCTCAATACATATCAAGACATCATGTAGCATCTCACTGAGCCTAGACCCACCTGTCCCGTGAGTGTGACCTGGAGTGGCTCCGTCCCTTCTTGTCTTTGCGCCGGTGTCGCTCCTCCCCATTCTCTGCAGAAAGTCTCTCCCTGCCCCTCTCAGTCTGCTCCGGCTGATCATCCGGCTTGCTGTGAGATTTTGATGGCTTCTCAGACACCCTCCTTTGTGCCTGTTTTAAGAAGAAGGTGTCTCTTTCAGGAAAATAGTGCAACAAAGAGAGTTAGTACAACGGTTTGATACAGAAGATACCAAAGCATGTTGAGAACTCTTGCTCACTTTAGACATACCTTCCCCTCATATTTAGAAAGACTGATCACCAGAAACCAAAACAGTTTGACGGAGCTACACTGTCGGTCCACTTTTTAACTGTTTGTTTAAATGCTTTTTTTCCTCTACTGTTTGAGTGTAACTGGAGAGATATTTGAAAATTAATTTCCCTCCAATGTACCAAGACACATACCCCAACTTGTAGCGCATAAGTTTTGTTAAGGTTTTGTCAAGTCTACCACCTACTTAGTTTTGTTTCAATCATATTATGGAAGGCACATGTATTAAACGCCTTATATAGTACCCAAAACTCAATGTAGGTTACCGTGGATCATCACCTCTGAGACAGCTTTAATACATACGTTTTAGTTCAGCACTTAATTCCCTCCCCTATCTACATGTGCATGCAGCCAGGAAGATTTCAAAAGGTAGGCTAAGAATGAATTTGGATTAATAAGGTTACTGCCAGCAGACTTTTTTGACTTTGAGTAATTGCAAAAACAATGCAGCTTGAAATAAACCCAGTAATTGGCAATTGAACCCAGTAAAAGCCTAATGTTAATTTCCTTTATTTGCAATAATTTTCTAGGAGGCAAGTATGAGTTTGAATGGCTGATAGTTACCTGTCCGAGTAGTAGGCATATAATTTTGCTATGTCAGCAGCGTCTTCAGTTCAGTGTCTCTTCGTGCTTTAGCACGCTGAGTATGATTTATTGTAGAAATGTTATCATGTGATCTACACACAGGATTTATCAAAAATCTCATATACAGTGCATTCGGAAAGTATTCCGACCCCTTGACTTTTTCTAGATTTTGTTAGGTTACAGCCTTATTCTGAAATTGATTAAATTGTTTTTTTCCCCTCATCAATCTACACACAATACCCCATAATGACAAAGCAAAAACAGGTTTAGAAATGTTTGCTAATTTATTAAAAAACAATAAACAGAAATATCACATTTACATAAGTATTCAGACCCTTTACTCAGTACTTTGTTGAAGCACCTTTGGAAGCAATTACAGCCTTGAGTCTTCTTGGGTATGACGCTACAAGCTTGGCACCCCTGTATTTGGGGAGTTTCTCCCATTCTTCTCTGCAGATCCTCTCAAGCTGTCGGGTTGGATGGGGAACGTTGCTGCACAGCTATTTCCAGGTCTTTCCAAAGATGTTAGATAGGGTTCAAGTCCGGGCTCTGGCTGGGCCACTCAAGGACATACAGAGACTTGTCCCAAAGCCACTCCTGCGTTGTCTTGGCTGTGTGCTTAGAGTCGTTGTCCTGGTGGAAGGTGAACCTTCTCCCCAGTCTGAGGTCCTAAGCGCTCTGGAGTAGGTTTTCATCAAGGATCTCTCTGTACTTTGCTCTGTTCATCCTTTCCTCGATCCTGACTAGTCTCCCAGTCCCTACCGCTGAAAAACACCCCCACAGCATGAGGCTGTCACCACCATTCTTCACCGTAGGGATGGTGCCAGGTTTCCTCCAGACGTAACACTTGGCATTCAGGCCAAATAGTTCAATCTTGGTTTCATCAGACCAGAGAATCTTGTTTCTCATGGTCTGAGAGTCTTTAGGTGCCTTTTGGCAAACTACAAGTGGGCTGTCATGTGCCTTTAACTGAGGAGTGGTTTCCGTCTGGCCACTCTACCATAAAGGCCTAATTGGTGGAGTGCTGTTGAGATGGTTGTCCTTCTGGAAGGTTCTCTCATCTCCACAGAGGAACTCTAGAGCTCTGTCAAAGTGACCATCAGGTTCTTGGTCACCTCCCTGACCAAGGCCCTTCTCCCCCGATTGCTCAGTTTGGCCGGGCAGCCAGCTCTAGGAAGAGTCTTGGTGGTTCCAAACCTCTTCCATTAAGAATGATGGAGGCCACTGTGTTCTTGGGGACCTTCCATGCTGCAGACATGTTTTGGTACCCTACCCCAGATCTGTGCCATGACACAATCCTGTTTCTGAGCTCTACGGACAATTCCTTCGACCTCATGGCTTGGTTTTTGCTCTGACATGCACTGTCAACTGCGGGACCTTATATAGACAGGTGTGTACCTTTCCAAATCATGTCCAATCAATTGAATTTACCACAGGTGGACTCTAATCAAGTTGTAGAAACATCTCAAGGATGATCAATGGAAACAGGATGCACCTGAACAATGAGTCTCATAGCAAAGGGTCTGAATACTTATGTAAATAACGTATTTCTATTTTCTAAAAACCTATTTTCGATTTGTCATTATGGGGTATTGTGTGTAGATTGCTGAGGATTTTTATTTATTTAATCAATTTTAGAATAAGGCTGTAATGTAACAAAATGTGGAAAAAGTCAAGAGGTCATCACACTTTCCGAAGGCACTGTATATATTCTTCACCATCTACTATGGCTACACTCAAGTGACCAAGAAGGATAAGTTAACGAGACATATCAAAATAAATTTTTAAAAACATGTCAGTTTTTCCATTTAAGTAATTCCATTAAGTCTCTTAATAAGCTTTGAATCAGGTTTCATAGCCTAGTGTGGTTTGGTACTTACCATGGTCAAAAAAAAGAAAGACACTATTGACATTCAAGATGGTGACAATACTGCAGCCTACTTTTAGTTCACTAAAATTAACTAAGATTAGTTACCTCTTCGCTCCTGCTGCGACTTCGTCTGTGCTTTTTGACACCTGTAAAAGTAACAAAACAAATCGATGAGAACAGTGACCAAATTCCACTGCACTATTAAATTAGGGTTGACTCCGACGAGTCACCTGTAGTGCTTGACTATTTTGGACTGTTCTATCAACACGGTACAGCTGCTCTAAGCTTACGTCAAATCCAAACGATGACCAGTTTCTGGGATGTGAGTTACCAAGTGAAGTTAACAAAAATGTATTACCAAAACTACAAACAACATTATGAGTTACCAAATTTAGTGCATTTAACTCACTTGATTTGCGTTTTCGGTCCCTGGAGTGTGACCTCGATCGTGAAGGATGGTGTTTGGAGCTTCTGGATGATTTGGAGGATTCCATAGTGTGTTTTCTTCTGTCCGTGTAAAGAGATCCCATCAAGGGTAGCAGGTTGGTCGAATCAGCATCACTTGCCTAAATTAAAGTAAACACACTGACACTGATCAACCTTACAGTTTATTGGTTCTTTAAGCAGCACTACGGGAAGACAATGTTTCAGCACAAAACAGCATCCCCACCGGCACCACTACCTTCTAGGGAAGCTGAATGATGACTCAAGTGGCTGTGTTATCCCACTGAGCTAAAGACATTAATTCCGAGGGCCAACACTAGTTTTCAGGTCTCAGGCAAGGTTACTCATCAGTCACACCAACTGGGCCCTTACACTGACTTTGATTCGCTAAAGATTGCCTAACATAGATTTGTGGTAGTAGCTAAATAGCTAACATTAGCTAATTGTCTCCGAAGTTACCAACCCTCCTCCTGGATAGGTACCGGATATGCAGGCGTTTGCACTAAGTCAACCCAACCAACACCTATTCAAGTACCTGATGGGCATCTGGTTAGATAAAAATGGAGGCTGCAGGTGGCAAAACAACATCATTGCTACCGTTAGCTAGCTAAGTTAATTAAGGGTGTTTTCACATATAGTCCTCTTTAAAAGAACAGATCTCAGTCCTCTTTAATGTGAACTCTGGGGTAAAAAAAACATCAAGGTCTGAGTTCTCTTTGTATTCACACTGCCCTTGCCTTTGAATGAGGACTCAACTCTTTTGCCAGTTCACTTCACCTATTTTGTGGTACGAGTCCTCTTTGCATTCACATTGCTATGTTTAGAAAGGAACCAATATATTTTTCCAACATTCACTCAATGCACTGTGGGTTTTTACCAAGTGCAGGACAAGCCATTCCATCAGAATGTGTTATTGGACAGCTAGATATACCATATAAACTATATCTAACTGTAAGTCGCTCTGGATAAGAGCGTCTGCTAAATGACTAAAATGTAAATATACACACACACAAAAGTATGTGGACACCCCTTCAAATGACTGGATTCTGCTATTTCAGCCACACCCGTTGATGACAGGTGAAAGAAATCTAGTACAAAGCCATGCAATCTTCATTGACAAACATTGGCAGTATAATGGCCTTACTGAAGAGCTCAGTGACTTTCAACGTGGCACCATCACTGTTTCCAACAAGTCAGTTTGTCAAATTTCTGCAAGTCCCAACATCTAGTGGAAAGCCTTCCCAGAAGAGTGGAGGCTGTTAATGCAGCAAAGGGGGGACCAACTCCATATTAATACCTATGATTTTGGGAATGAACTGTTTGGCGAGCAGGTGTCCACATACTTTTGGTCATGTAGTGTACCTACTTATACTTTGGAAGCTAATAGATTGCATTTAGTTAAAAGGTGAGACATAATTGTAATCAGAAGATACTATTAACATGTAAATATTAGTGGCACAGTGGTCTAAGCATCTCAGTGCTTGAGGCGTCACTACAGACCCCCTGGTTCGATTCCAGGCGGTATCACAACCGGCCATGATTGGGAGTCCCATAGGGCGGCGCACAATTGGCCCAGCGTTGTCCGGGTTTGGCCGGTGTAGGCCGTCATTGTAAATAAGAATTTGTTCTTAACTGACTTGCCTAGTTAAATAAAGGTTTTTTTTAAAGAATACCTGCAGATTAAATAATGCTGTAATTGAAAATTGTACACCCAATGTAGGCTACTGCCCCTTTAAGAGCTAGAATAGATGTTGTACTCTGTGATTCTTAACAAGTACCTACATTGGGCTGTAGCAGCCTACGAACTGCTCCCGGACTTACCTATTGCTGTTCACTGGACCTTATGCTCACTTAGCTACACATCTGATGCCCGCTGGACTGTTCCTTTACACGGTACCCCATCCTGTTGATCTGTTTAGCCTCAGCCCAAACTTTCGTCGCCATTACCAGTTGTTGTCTTAGCCCTCTCGAATAACACCTGTGATTGCGTTATGCCTCTCTCCCATGTCAATATGCCTAGCCTATTGCTGTTTGGGTTAGTTGTTATTGTACTATTTCACTGAAATAAGTCTCTCACTGTTGCCGCTTGCTACAGACCCCCCCTCAGCCCCCAGTTGTGTCCTGGACACCATATGTGAATTGCTTGCCCCCTATCTATCCTCAGAGTTCGTATTGCATGGTGACCTAAACTGGGATATGCTTAACACCCCGGGCCGTCCTACAATCTAAACTAGATGCCCTCAATCTCACACAAATGATCAAGGAACCTACCAGGTACAACCCTAAATCCGTAAACATGGGCACCCTCATAGATATCATCCTGACTAATTTACCCTCTAAATACACCTCCGCTGTCTTCAACCAGGACCTCCGCGATCACTGCCTCGTTGCCTGTGTCCGTAATGGGGTCCGTGGTCAAACGACCACCCCTCATCACTGTCAAACGCTCCCTAAAACACTTCAGCGAGCAGGCCTTTCTAATTGACCTGGCCCGGGTATCCTGGATGGATATTGACCTCATTCCGTCATTAGAGGATGCCTGGATGTTCTTCAAAAGTGCTTTCCTCTCCATCTGAAATAAGCATGCCCCATTCAAAAAATTCAGAACTAAGAACAGATATAGCCCCTGGTTCTCCTCAGACTTGACTGCCCTTGACCAGCACAAAAACATCCTGTGGCGTACTGCATTAGTATCGAACAGCCCCCGCGATATGCAACTTTTCAGGGAAGTCAGGAACCAATATACACAATCAGTTAGGAAAGCAAAGGCTTGCTTTTTCAAACAGAAATGTGCATCCTGTAGCACGAACTCCAAAAAGTTTTGGGACACTAAAGTCCATGGAGAATAAAAGCACCTCCTCCCAGCTACCCATTGCACTGAGGCTAGGAAACACTGTCACTACCGATAAATTCAATAAGCATTTTGCTACGGCTGGCCATGCTTTCCACCTGGCTACCCCTACCCCGGCCACCAGCTCTGCACCCTCCGCTGCAACTTGCCCATGCCCCCCCGCTTCTCCTTCACCCAAATTCAGCTGCAAAATCTGGACCCCTACAAATCAGCTGGGCTAGACAATCTGGACCCTTTAAATTAGCAGCCGAAATTGTCGCAACCCCTATTACTAGCCTGTTCAACCTCTCTTTTGTATCGTCTGAGATCCCCAGAGATTGGAAAGCTGCCGCGGTCATCCCCCTCTTCAAAGGGGGTGACACTAGATCCAAACTGTTACAGACCTATATCCATCCTACCCTGCCTTTCGAAAGTATTTGAAAGCCAAGTTAACAAACAGATCACCGACCACTTCGAATCCCACCGTACCTTCTCCGCTATGCAATCTGGTTTCCGAGCTGGTCATGGGTGCACCTCAGCCACGCTCAAGGTCATAAACGATATAATAACCGCGATTGATAAAAGACAGTACTGTGCAGCCGTCTTCATCGACCTGGCCAAGGTTTTTGACTCTGTCAATCACTGCATTCTTATTGGCAGACTAAATAGCCTTGGTTTCTCAACTGACTGCCTCGCCTGGTTCACCAACTACTTTTCAGATAGAGTTCAATGTGTCAAATCGGAGGGCCTGTTGTCTGGACCTCTGGCAGTCTATGGGGGTGCCACAGGGTTCAATTCTCGGGCAGACTCTATTCTCTGTGTATCTCAATGATGTCGCTCTTGCTGCTGGTGACTCTCAGATCCACCTCTATGCTATCTTGTATACATCTGGCCCTTCATTGGACACTATTAACAAACCTTCAAACAAGCTTCAATGCCATACAACACTCCTTCAGTAGCCTCCAACTGCTCTTAAACGCTAGTAAAACTAAATGCATGCTCTTCAATCGAACGCTGTGTGGACAACTACAAATACCTAGGTGTCTGTTTAGACCGTAAACTCTCCTTCCAGACTCACATTAAGCATTTCCAATCCAAAGTTAAATCTAGAATCGGCTTCCTATTTCGCAACAAATCCTCCTTCACTCATGCTGCTAAACATGCCCTCGTAAAACGGACTATCCTACCGATCCTTGACTTCGACGATGTCATTTACAAAATAGCTTCCAACACTCTACTCAGCAAATTGGATGTAGTCAATCACAGTGCCATCCGTTTTGTCACCAAAGTCCCATATACTACCCACTATTGTGACCTGTACGTTCTCGTTGGCTGGCCCTCACTACATATTCGTCACCAAACCCACTGGCTCCAGGTCATCTATAAATCACTTCTAGGCAAATCCCCGCCTTATCTTAGCTCATTGGTCACCATAGCAACACCCACCCGTAGTATGCGCTCCAGCAGGTAGATCTCACTGGTCATCCCCAAAGCCAACACCTCCTTTGGCCGCCATTCCTTCCAGTGCTGCAAATGACTGGTACGAACTACAAAAATCTCTGAAGCTGGAGACACTTATCTCCCTCATTAACTTTAAGCATCAGTTGTCAGAGCAGCTTACGATCACTGTACCTGTACACAGCTCATCTGTAATTAGCCCACCCAACTACCTCATCCCCATGTTGTTATTTACATTGTTATTTATTTTGCTCATTTGCACCCCAGTATCTCTATTTGCACATCATCTTCTGCACATCTATCACTCCAGTGTTAATAATAAATTGTAATTATTTTGCACTATGGCCTATTTATTGCCTTACCTCCATAACTTACTACATTTGCACACACTGTATATATATTTTCTATTTTCTATTGTGTTATTGACTGTACGTTTTGTTTATTCCATATGTAACTCTGTGTTGTTGTTTTTATCGCACTGCTTTGCTTTATCTTGGCCAGGTCGCAATTGTAAATGAGAACGTGTTCTCAACTGGCTTACCTGGTTAAATACAGGTGAAATAGAAAAATATGTTGTCTTCTCACACTATTCAAACCCCACAATCGAATAAACAGCTTATGAAGTTCGCATAGCCTATAGAGCACAACATTTTCCGCAAACCTGCACATGATTTAGTGGCGCAGTGGTCTAAGGCACTGCATCGCAGTGCTAGCTGTGCCACTAGAGATCCTGGTTCGAATCCAGGCTCTGTCGTAGCCAGCCGCGACCAGGAGACCCATGGGGTGATGCACAATTGGCCCAGCGTCATCCAGGGTAGGGAATGGCCTGCAGGGATGTAGCTCAGTTGGTAGAGCAAAGCCATGGTTGTGGGTACGATTCCCACGGGGGGCCAGTATGAAAAAATTAAAAAATAATGTATGCACTCACTAACTGTAAGTCGCTCTGGATAAGAGCGTCTGCTAAATGACTAAAATGTAAAAATGTAATGATCATTTTCTCTCTTTTGTGGCACCAATGTGAGGGCTATGGCAGGGGAAACGGTGTTGCAGTAGTCTAGTGTGTGGTGCGGGAATAATGACAAGCGAAACTTGGGGCGCTTTGTGTTCACATTGCCCTAAAAAAAAAGAGAACCGGGCCGCGGAATTCCAGCTAACCGAACTTAGACCACCTCTCGAGATGGCCTCAGCTCGGTTCGCTTCGGGGGCTCTTTTGAAGGGTCTGAGTTCATTTGGAGTGTTCTCACTGCACAAAAAATTAAGCGAACCGCAATGAGTTCACAAAAATTGGCTGAGAGGGACAAAGTGTGAAAACACCATAACTAACGTCGTTAGGTAGCTACGTTAGCTAGTTTGCCAAAGAATGCGCAACTCAAGGTACATAGATACGTTAGTTAACGTTAACTTAGGTAGGTAGCTAGCTAACAGTAACAGAATCCGATTTCGACCAATACAAATCAAGTAGAATTTCCATTTATTTCCGAAATCAACACGACATAGCTACCAACTGGCAAACGCGACACGTTAGCAGGCCACGGCCAGAGACGCCATCTTGATTAAACAAAACATCTTTAAAATAGAAACAGCTAGCATAAATTATTCTATGAAATCGATGGTAATGTAAATTGTGAACACTTACCGCCATGGGTCACTTGAAGAACCCCCGTAAAAATAAATGTGAGTTGTTATTTTCGTGCTGTCGTTGAGTTTCGTTCGATGTCCCAGCAAAGTCCTCCCACTCCCAGGCCGTTCTGTTACAACAACAGAGAGCGGAAGAGGCGTAGTAAGAGGTTTTACTCCGACGAAAATCTGTCCACGAAAATAAACCCATGAAGTGAGGATTTTTTTGTATGGTTGTCAATGATAGTGTCGAATTTGGTCAACAAACAATCATTGCTAATTTGCTGCATGAAGCTTATTTTATAGAATATAAGTTTCGTAATGCTTAGGTTGTTACGAAAGCATTGATATAAGTGGACGCACTTGGTATTTCGGCAACTTTGAAAAAAATGACTTTATATTGGAGTTAATCAGGTCAACACAAGCTAGGCCTGGGACCCCTGACGGTATTCCATGGCTCGTTCTTACAGCATGAGCAGAACAGCTGACAGGCATATTCATGGTAATTTTCAACCTCTCCTTGTCCCAGTCTGTAATCCCCACATATTTTAAGATGAACACAATCATTCCTGCTCTCCACACTGCCCTCACCCATCTATATTAAAGGAATACCTATGTGAGAATGCTGTTAATTGACTACTGCTCAGCGTTCAACACCATTATCCCCTCCAAGCTCGTCACCAAGCTTAGGTCTCTGGGTCTGAACACCTCCCTCTGTAACTGGATCCTGGACTTCTTGACGGGCCGACCCCAGGTGGTGAGGGTAGGCTAAATCACCTCCACCACACTGACCCTTAACATAGGGGCCCCTCAGGGGTGTTTGCTTAGTCCCCTCCTGTACTCCCTGTTCACCCACGACAGTGTGGCCAAACACAACTCCACCACCATTATCAAGTTCGCTGACGACACGACGGTGGTAGGCCCTCAACGTCAGCAAGACCGAGGAGCTTATCGTGGACTACAGGAAACAGGGGTGCGAGCACGCCCACATCCACATTGATGGGGTTGCAGTTGTGCAGGTAGATAGCTTCAAGTTCCTCGTGTTCAAATCACTAAAGATGGTCCAAACACACACGCACAGTCGTGAAGAAGGCGCGACAGTGCCTCTTCCCCCTCAGGAGGTTGAAAAAGTTTGGCATGGGCCCTCAAATCCTGAAAAGGTTCTACAGCTGTACCATTGAGAGCATATTGACTGGCTGCATCACTGCTTGGTATGGCAATAGCACCGCCCTCGATCGCATGGCGCTACAGAGGGTTGTGCGGACAACGTAATACATCACTGGGGCCGAGCTCCCTGCCATCCAGGACCTCTATATCAGGCGGTGTGAAAAGAAGGCCCGAAAAATCATCAAAGACCCCCCAAGCCAAATACTATTTTCTCTGCTGCCGCACAGCAAGAGGTACTGGTGCATCAAGTCTGAAACCAACTGGCTCTTGAACAGCTTCTATTCCCAAGCAATACGACTGATAAATAGCTAACAAAATAGCTACACAGACTGAGTTTACCTTGTATTTTTTTACCTTTTATTTCAATATTTGCATTGTCTCTATGCACACTCACAGGGCCCTACACACTCACACACACTGTCAATCCAACACACACACTCACTCCATCATTTTTCACTCACACATAATATGCACATACAGTGCATTCGGAAAGTATTCAGACCCCTTGACCTTTTCCACATTTTGTTACATTACAGCCTTATTCTAAAATGGATGAAATAAATAAAAATCCTCATCAATCTACACACAATACACCACAATGACAAAGCGAAAACAGGATGATTATTTATTTTTTTTACTTTTTGCAAATTGAGCAATCGGCTGAGAAGGGCCTTGGTCAGGGAGGTGACCAAGAACCCAATGGTCCCTCTGACAGAGCTCCAGAGTTCCTCTGTGGAGATGGGAGAACCTTCCAGAAGGACAACCATCTCTGCAGCACTCCACCAATCAGGCCTTTATGGTAGAGTGGCCAAACGGAAGCCACTCCTCAGTAAAAGGCACATGACAACCCGCTTGGAGTTTGCCAAAAGGCACCTAAAGGACTCTCAGACCATGAGAAACAAGATTATCTGGTCTGATGAAACCAAGATTGAACTCTTTCAGCCTGAATGCCAAGCGTCACATTTGGAGGAAACCTGGCACCATCCCTACGGTGAAGCATTGTGGTGGCAGCATCATGCTGTGGGGATGGTTTTAGCGGCAGGGACTGGGAGACTAGTCAGGATCGAGGAAAGGATGAACAGAGCATGAACAGAGCAAAGTTAAATCTAGAATCGGCTTCCTATTTTGCAACAAAGCCTCCTTCACGCATGCTGCCAAACATGCCCTCGTAAAACTGACTATCCTACCGATCCTTGACTTCGGCGATGTCATTTACAAAATAGCCTCCAACACTCTACTCAGCAAATTGGATGTAGTCTATCACAGTGCCATCCGTTTTGTCACCAAAGCCCCATATACTACCCACCACTGTGACCTGTACGCTCTTGTTGGCTGGTTCTCACTACATATTCGTCGCCAAACCCACTGGCTCCAGGCCATCTATAAATCACTGCTAGGCAAATCCCCGCCTTATCTTAGCTCATTGGTCACCATAGCAACACCCACCCGTAGTCTGCGCTCCAGCAGGTATATCTCACTGGTCATCCCCAAAGCCAACACCTCCTTTGGCCGCCATTCCTTCCAGTTCTCTGCTGCCAATGACTGGAACGAATTGCAAAAATCTCTGAAGCTGGAGACTCTTATCTCCCTCACTAACTTTAAGCATTAGTTGTCAGAGCACCTTACCGATCACTGCACCTGTACACAGCCCATCTGAAATTAGCCCACCCAACTACCTCATCCCCATATTGTTATTTATTTTGCTCATTTGCACCCCGGTATCTCTATTTGCACATAATCTCTTGCACATCTATCATTCCAGTGTTAATACTAATTGTAATTATTTTGCACTATGGCCTATTTATTGCCTTACCTCCATAACTTGCTACATTTGCACACACTGTATATATATTTTCTGTTGTATTTTTGACTTTATGTTTTGTTTTACCCCATATGTAACTCTGTGTTGTTGTTTTTATCGCACTGCTTTGCTTTATCTTGGCCAGGTCGCAGTTGTAAATGAGAACTTGTTCTCAACTGGCTTACCTGGTTAAATAAAGGTTAAATATATATATTTTTTTAAACAGAGAGAACATTGATGAAAACCTGCTCCAGAGCGCTCAGGACCTCAGACTGGAGCGAAGGTTCACCTTCCAACAGGACAATGACTCTAAGCACACAGCCAAGACAATGCAGGAGTGGCTTCGGGACAAGTCTTTGAATGTCCTTGAGTGGCCCAGCCAGAACCCGGACTTGAACCCGATCTAACATCTCTGGATAGACCTGAAAATAGTTGTTCAGCGACGCACCCCATTCAACCTGACAGAGCTTGAGAGGATCTGCAGAGAAGAATGGGAGAAACTCCCCAAATACAGGTGTGCCAAGCTTGTAGCGTCATACCCAAGAAGACATGAGGCTGTAATCGCTGCCAAAGGTGCTTCACCAAAGTACTGAGTAAAGGGTCTGAATACTTATGTAAATGTGATATTTCCTTTATTTTTATTTTGTAAATTTGCAAAAAAAATTCAAACAAACTTTTTTTGCTTTGTCATTATGGGGTATTGTGTGTAGATTGATGAGGGGGAAAATAACTTAATCAATTTTAGAATAAGGCTGTAACGTAACAAAATATGGAATAAGTCAAGGGGTCTGAATACTTTCCGAATGTACTGTACTGACTCTATACAACCGCACACCCACTCACATGCAAGCTGCTGCTACACCATTAATCTTATATCCCGTTGCCTAGTCCCCTTATCCCTAAACATATCAACCTCCATCACTCCAGTATCCCTGCACATGTAAATATGGTATTGGAACTGTATATAGTAGGCTTACTTACTTACTTACTTTATTGTGTATTTCATATTTCCTATTCTTATTTCTCTGTTTTTTTTCTAGTAAAACATTGTTATTGATTATTGCAACGTTGGGTTTTGAGTGTGCAACAAAGGCATTTCACTGTACTGTGCATGTGACATTACAACTTGAAACGTGAGTTGTGCCTGTTGTCATAGAGATACAGTATGAAAAATGTATGCACTCACTAACTGTAAGTCGCTCTGGATAAGAGCGTCTGCTAAATGACTAAAATGTAAATGTAGATACAGTAGATAGAGCAATCATGCCATTATTGTTTTCATTGTATTTTTAGTATTTGTAAATATTTTGTAAATTTTTTTGGTATAAATTATTGTTGGTAATTTACATTTTTTAATTAATGATTATTAACAACAAATCAATACAAAAAGTACATGGGCAAACAAGTATATATAAAGAATACACAAAGGACAATTGGGCTAGGGGGTACAATATCACACTACACAAGGGACACATTTATAATTCTATTTTTTGTTTTAGAGTATTTAATTGTCTTAAAATATAGTTTTTTTAAAAATGTGTAAGGTAAGAAAATGTGGTATTTTATTTGTAAATGTACATTTGTGAATATGAAGTCCCTGCCGATGAAAAACATCCCCATGCTTCACTGCGGTGATGGTGTTCTTTGGGTGATGAGAGGTGTTGGGTTTGCGCCAGACATAGTGTTTTCCTTGATGGCCAAAAAGCTCAATTGTTGTCTCATCTGACCAGAGTACCTTCTTCCATATGTTTGTGGAGTCTCCCACATGGCTTTTGGCAAACACCAAACGTGTTTGCTTCTTTTTTTCTTTAAGCAATGGCTTTTTTCTGGCCACTCTTCCGTAAAGCCCAGCTCTGTGGAGTGTACGGCTTAAAGTGGTCCTATGGACAGATACTCCAATCTCCGCTCTGGAGCTTTGCAGCTCCTTCAGGGTTATCTTTGGTCTCTTTGTTGCCTCTCTGATTAATGCCCTAAATTACAGGTTGTAATGCAACAAAATAGGAAAAACGCCAAGGGGGATGAATACTTTTGCAAGGCACTGCATGTGTTTGGCAACATCCAAACTTTTTCCCAACAGATATTATCAATAAAACCATTCCAATAAGGCATGACATAAGGTATAGATACAACATCCTGCTGAAACAAGGCTCGTATAGCTCTATTGTTGTTGAATGGACCAAAAGAAAAACAAATCTTTCCTACTGATGAGTCAACAGGGTTAATCGTAGGTATGTTCTGAAGGTCAGGTCTTGACACGTTCCTGAATAATAAAGCAACACCTGAGGGAATGGCATCTAAAACAATTGCAAAATATTTAGGCGTTACAGGGATCTTGTAAAGTGATAAGAATTCCTTATAATTAAGTAAAAGACCCTCTGCATTTTTATACAATATGTCCTGATTATTCCATATATAATATCTGTGTGGAGAAAATTATGCTTATAAATTAAGGACCATGACAAGAAAACCTGCCGATGAAAAGCAGAGAGTTTCACTGGAACTTTGTAAATATTATAATTACAAACCAACATGAAGTTAAGGCCACCAAAAGTAGAGAAGACATGATGAGGAATAAAGTTCCACATAGAAGTGGGTCTTCTTAGGAATTGTTTTATCCAATTGTTCTTAAAAGTATTCTTTAAGGTAGTTAAGTCCAGAAAATTCTGCCCACCATACTCAGAATTGTTCATTACAACAGTTTTCCTAATGTAATGGGTACTGTTTCTCCACAGAAAGTTGAAAAGCATCTGGTCTATCTCTTTGCTTATTTTACCATCAAGATATAAAGATCGAGCGGCATATGTTAGCCTAGAGATACCCTCAGCCTTGGTTATTAGGACTTCCTTTTAAAGTCCCTCTGTAGCCATTGATTTAGCTTCTTCTGTTTTATTTTTATTTTTATAAGAGGGTTAAAATGTAGTAAGTCTCTAGACTTCTGATCCTTAGTAATGGTTAAGCCTAAATGTGTAAATTCTTCTTTCACTGGAATACCATAATATGAGGGTGTCACTCAATCTTTGACAGCCATGAGGTCACATATATTAATGCTAAGACATTGACCAGATGCTTTGGAAAAGGATTCTATCACATTGATCGATATGGGAATCTGACTAGCGTCTTTCAGAAAAAGTGTAGTATCGTCAGCAGCTGGCTTATAATAATGTCTTTACCAGCTATGGAAATACCTTGTACAGGACTATTATTTAAATAATGTGTAATTAGTTGGGTGATTAATAAAAACAGATACGGTGAGATAGGACAACCTTGCCTAATTAGAGGACTCATGGCTATAGACCCAGTAGGTATTTGATAGAACGTCACGACCCTGCATGCCTGTGAGGAAACAAACAACCTGTGGTTACCTAGATTACCCCATTGGTTTACAGCAAAAATGTGACCTTTTTCAAACAATTTTCTTGTTGTCTGCTTGTTTTAATCAATTACAAAACTACATTTAAGAAAGTCTAAAGATCCCTATCGTTCGCACAACTTAGAAAAACATAATATTATAGGGCTTCCCTCATGCCCCTGTTTTCATGACGATGCTAGCAGCCACTGAGTGAGCGAGTGCTAGCTAGCCACCGACCAGAACATTTGGGGTGTGTTCGTAAATTGCCTCCAGTGTGTCAGAGTGCGCGCTGTGTAGTTGGTAAATTCAGAGTGTTGTCCAGAGCGCACATTGGACGCTCTGGCGGAGGAGCAGGGTTGATCCAAGCGTTCTGATCTCACAAAGGCACTCAAGCTAACTGGCAAAAAATGGCTAGCTTGCCAGAGCGCAAAATAACTGATTCATTTACGAACTCGCAACACCCATTGAATATGACTGGTGTCAGTAACGTCGGGAAAAAACCGAATCTAAATTGTTGCCAGCAGTGCAGTTACAGTCACCAATGCTTTAGATAACATGAAAACATCCTAACCACCTCTGCCAGGGCAAGTAAAATGGTCAGGGTGAGGTGTACTCTCATTTGTGTCTGGAAGTAGCTAGCCAACTTTAGCCAGTTAGCTTGGGTGCTTGATCAACCCTACTTCTCGGCCAGAGCGTCCAGTGTGCTCTCTGAACGCTCCAAGAGCGAAACGCATTGAATTTACGAACGTACAATCTGACAAAGCTCTGAATTTATGAACGCCCAGAGCGCACTATGGCACTCCAGTGTGAATTTACGAATGCACCCCTAATAGACAATCTTTGGTTTACAAGCCAGAACCCAGATAACCAATCACTGATTGCGCACGCCTACTAAAGATAGTTGAAAATGAAAAAGATAGCTATTTGAATTAGCGTCATCTTGGTTTGAGAACGATTTCCATTCCACCAACTCAATCTGGGGGAGCGCAAAGAAATAGACAAACAACACTATATCAGATCACTCTTATTTTATAATAACCTTTGATCATTTTGATTGAATGCTTCAAATTAACCTTATCATTTTAAGTTCAAGTATGCTCCTGTAACTACACAGGAAGTAAGTAGAGTTGCGCTTCTCTCTTTAGGGTCTTTGTTTTAAACCGCCAAATTCTGAACCCGCACAGTGGGGTGTTGTTGTGTCAGTGTGGCGCTCAGTTTGCTATCAAGCCGTGGTCAGGGTACCTGTAATCGGTGAGTTTGGTATCTACAACCGGTGAGTTTGTTACCGCGATATAGTCAAAATTATTTAATAACATGTCTATAGCTGTATGTACTGTGTATGCAGAGAGATTGGTAAACTTTTTTTTTTTTTTTTTACCTAGCTAACGTTAGCTACAGTAGCTAACTGACGTGACAGCAAAGAGTGGTGACGGCTCTAGTACTAGCATACTAGGTCTATGTTAAGTAACGTTAGCTAGCTTCCTAGTTATAACTGACCTGTTAGTGTCCCGATTTTCATCTAGGTAGGTGGACGGAATAACAATGTGGAACGACGTTGAACTTCTAACCAATGAGGATACCAACACAGGTCGCCTTTGTAATGTTCGAGAGGAGAATAGTGGTTTGTACCAAGTGGATACTTTGGTAAAAATTGCCTCACCTGAAAAGGTAAGACCAAAAGTAGCCGATTAAACTCAGCTCCACGATTTACAATGGAGTTGAGCGGCGACTAACTTAGAGTAGTGTGGTCGGACTGGAGCTCCGACGTCACATAAAGATTACTGTGCGGCCTATTTTTTTGGGTGCTGAAATCAATCGTTTTTGATAAAAAACGTAATTTTATGTGACGTCAGAGGTCCAGTCCACCTCCGCCTACACTAGTCGCCACTCAACTCCATCGTAGTTGGAGTTGAGTTTAATCGGCTAGACAAAAAGTTAACGACTCTCTCCAACCATATTATTGATTACCTATACAGTTATGAACACCTTCTAGCTAGGTACCTTCTATTCGAATACAGTATGCAGTGCCGGTATTGATTAATTTCATGACAGGGTCTTTAGTGCAACTTGTTCACATTATTGTTTTCCTGCAGGTGTTGTCAGATCCTCAGCTTTACTCCTCCAGCAGCTCAAACTGCAGCATTGTTGTTGCTGATTCAACTGTTATCCTGTTTGACTTCAGCTATCAGACTATCTTGCTGCATCTTGACTTTGGTTAGTATCTCTTTTGTGTTCTGTGTGTAATAATAATAATAATATAATAATAATAATGTGTGTAGATGTTGTCTAATGTAATGATGTCTTGCATTATGGTGAATGATGTTAAATAAAAGCATGTTTATTTCAGACTCTGATGTGGATACTGTGGATGTTTGTCTGGACGGCCAGTTTTTGGTGGTTTGCGAGAGAAACGGAAACCTCCATCTTATCTATGTGCCTCAAAAGAGGACTCTTCTCACCAGAGTAAGAGATTGGGATGATCTCATATCCCCTATGATATTTCAGCGATTAAGTGTGTCAGTGTCATAAGTGTGCCTAAAGTGCTTGCATGCTGAGTCTACTATACTTTTTGTGTGTTTTTTTTAACTCTGCTAGGCTATGCTGGAGAAAGTCCCCTCTGGAAATGAGAAAACATATCGACATCTTATCCTACAGGAGGATAAGACATCTTTAGGTGAGTAGTTCATAGTTTGTCATGACTTTGGAATAAAATTATACAGTGTTTCTAAATGGTCTGTTGAGGTGATAGGTTAAACCTTATATTGTTGTTGCCAGGGATGTACCACCTGTTCCTCCTTACTCCAGATGGATTTTTTCACATCACAAACCTTGCCCTGGAGAAGATTAAAATAGGTATTTCATTTTAATTAGGCTTTCATATCGTTTTCTTTTACTTGAGAGTTGTTACATTTAACTTTCAATTATTTTAAACCATGTTCTCTCTCATCTCTGTAGCTATTGAGAAAATGGACATTGGGGCATTGAAAGAGGTATTTGGCTTTAACTATGTTGGAGATGGTAAAATAACAATTCAAACGATATGAAGTCAGAATAATCAACCCCAAACCATCACATTGTTTCTCGCCAGCTCCAGTCTCTAATTAAGACAGACTTCTGCTCCACCATGGAGATCCATGGAGGGGGATGCAACACAGCAGTGATGTACAACCTTGGCAATGAAATCCACCTCATGATTGGGGTATGGTTGTGCGCAAGTACCTGCACTGCTTTGTTACGAAATATTTTGATGTAAAAAGCTAAGCTAAATCTTTGAAAGCATAATGAGAGAAAGCTGCTGCCGATAATAGAAAGTTAGACTTTTATTCATCAAGTAGGCTATTCATACAGTATTTATTCACTTTTAACATATAATCTGTATAGCTTCTCGCATAACTGATGTGGTTATGATTTCATTCATTGTTTTTTGTTCTTTTTCACAGGCGGATGGGGAAGCTGTTCTAACCCGCTGGAGATTGGATCATAGTCAGGGCACGATGTCTCTCTTTCAGTCCCTGGACTCCAGCTTAATACCAGGTAGCTTTGATAACATTTAACTGTCTGGCTTTGGTTAAACTACACTTTACTGTTTTGCCTGAATTGCTTATGTATGTCATCAATAGTTAGGTTATAGCATTATTTTTGAATTGTTGTGTATTAATGTCGCAGTCAAATGTATCCCTTATCTGTATTGTAGGGGTGAGAAAGATCCTGGTGGTGGACAATCTCATGTATGTTCTTAGCGCAGAGGTGAGTCCAGCTGAATGAATCTTCATCAATCAGTTTATGATTGTATTCTTTAGCCGTTTGGTCATTAGAACATTTTAAGTTGGACATTAATCTTTCTGTACCTTTCAATTGGTCTTAGAACATTCTGAGTCTTTGGGACCTGCATTTCCTGGTGATGGTGTGCTGCTGGCCTGACCTCTTCATCCATGACTTCCTACTCATCACAGAGTGTGACTCTGCTTCAAAGGCCACGTATGTGTTCACTTCAATACTATACTATTGTTAGACCTATACTATTTAAATTAACATCATGTAATGTTTCATTTTCAAATGCTTGTGCTGTAATGATTTTGAAAACAAAACCTCTCCTCTTCATAGGCAAGAAAGTGCCAGCACAAAAATCATTACATTGACCATGCAAGACAAAAGCCAGGTAACTCCAGTCTGTTTCTATGGTTCCTAGACAGCTACTTGTTCGTAGTAATCCCATCATGTACATACATTAATGCTTCTCTGGTTGAAGTAGTTGTTAGAAACATCTGAGGTCCTCTCTGACTGTGTGTTTGTATATGTTTGTTGACGGCAACGCCCTGTATTGTTAACCTTAGATGAGGAGCCTGCAGGTGCGCTCTCTTCCCTCCATGACTGTCCTTTATTCTCTGGAGGTCTCCTCTACATCCTGCCTGGTCCAGACAAGAATAAGCACGGTAAACCATAAACAGTTATAATCCACCCTGATTGCATCAGATATATTATATCAGGTTCAGAAAGTACACCAAATTCACAATTTTCCTAATTGAAAAGTTTTGATGAGCATTGGAATTGGAATTTCAGTGTACTTCCTGAATTGACTGGAATTGAAATGGAATTGACGTCCCCAACCCTGTCAGATATCACACCATATTACAATACCCAAGTAGCGAAGGATAATGGAACATTAAGTTGTACAGGTATTATTTCACTTTAGATTAGGAAAGGATGCTGAAGCTTTGACATACAGTATTATCCAACCTCAGACATATTGTAAATTGTTTTTATCCTTCTGAATTTCAGGACACTATATATTTACTAGAGGGGATTTACGAGAATTCACAAAAGTAGGTGTTTCTTTGGCTGTTTAATGACACTAGGGTTACCCTGAGTAAATACTTGGGTGGTGGAGTTCCACAAATAACAGTGAATTGACATGTGTAAATGCAAATCATATGTTTTTTTCTCACTGACAACTAGCTCTGAGGAGCCTATATCCTCTGTCGTCATGAGATGCTTCACAGAGGCTTTGCCTGAGAACAGGTACAGTAGTGTCATCACGCACTCGCCTTATTTCCTTGTTCTTGCAGTAGTTACCGTACATGATGTCAATATCAGTAAACACACTGTTAATTGTCCCCAGACTCAGCAGACTTCTCTACAAACACAAATTTGATGAGGCAGAAAAGTTTGCCATAACATTTGAGCTTGATGTTGAGGTTGGTATAATTTTTCTGGGATTGAGAAGTTATTCTAACTAAAATGAATAATAAATGTACCTGACTGACCAGCCACCCTCCCTCCCCTGCCCACCCAGCTTGTCTATAAGGTGAAGCTGGACTTTGTGCTGGAGCAGCTGGCGTCAGCCTCTGTGGGGGGCTATGGGCAGGATGTATGGTCTGATCTGGTGGAGGAGGCCAAGACCAACCTGATGAAGATCATGGTGAGTGTTATCAGGGGTGTATATAACAAAGCAGGACAAGTCAACCAGCTAACTTTACTTTACTATTCTAGAATAAAAACATTGAATCCATAAACAAAGAGACTTGAAAATGGGGATGGTATAATTCTCAAACTCTGACTGGTGTGGAGAGAAGGGTATAAGTTTGAACCACAAGCTGGCAAACCTACAGTAGATAGGGCCACAGTGTAATGAGGTGCTCTTAAACAAGCCATCTATACATTTTCAAATGTAACATTTCCCTAAAAGGTTGAGATTAAATAAGTACACTGTGCTCATTGACGAGTGTGTTTGTGTGTCAGGATGAGCAGTATGTGGTGGAGTACTGCCTCAAGGCTCCGTGGCCAACTTTTGACACTGCAGAGAAGATGCTGAACCATGCCGCCTCCTGCTGCCCCTCCTCCCAGATCCAGGAGGCTCTGGCCAGACTCGCCACCTTCTGCTGTCTCCACAACCTGGACAAGTTCAAGTATGTTCAATTTGACTGTAATTCTATTCCTTGCTTGCTAAAGGTTATTGAGGATGTAGAGTATATGTATTATAACTGTGTAAATTAGTGCCATGCCCGTACTTATGTTTAATTCCCTCTCCTGGTTGTTTCTCTCCAGTGGGATCGCCTGGATTGAGTTTCTGAACAGTACAGACTACGTTGGGGACATGCTGTCCCACTTGAGAGAGGGAGACCTGAAGGGGGCCCAGCACCTTTGGCTTAGACACGAGGTAACACAAATTATCACACAATCAACTGTTGCACCATAAGACATCTAATGGAGTTTCATATTTTGCACTTGTAATATGTGGCTTTGACTGGAGGATGATTTATCTTTGTCTGCTGTTTCTGTGATTGTCCTGTAGGGAGAGATTGCAGTGCAGTTTGATGAGAGAGGTCTTGGTGCTCTGCTCAGCTCCATTCCAGAGGACCTTCCATCCCAGGACCTCTGTCTCTGGCTTAGGAGTGTCATTGTTCCCTTTGTGAGGAGAGTGCTACCTAGAGGACAGGTACAGTGGTCAGGGTGGAAAACTGATCATGATGACAAATATGTTTTGAACAGTTTGTATTTCCAGTTTCTTTGTTGACAAGGCCTTTGAATAATGTGTTCCTAGAAAATCCTTGCAAGGTGGTTGGAGCAGAGGGCCAGGATTCTGGAGTTAACGGAAAAGGTCAAGCGAACACCTCTTTACATTGCTAGACGGGAATAACTCTGAGTGCTCTAGTCAATAACATGAGTGATTAGGTGATCACACACCACACTTAAACATTTATTCTACCCCTTATGTTCCTGTAGGGAGACTGGCCCCAGAATGGGCTGAACTTGGCAGAACTTGGGTTGCCCTTGTTATGGATGTGGATACCTTCTGTAAGCTGAATATTTTTTTTTTTTAGTATTTTTATTTATTTATTTATTTCTTCTCCCCAGCTTCATTTTACCAGCTCTTTCCTTTTGGTTCCTTTAACTGTCACACCCCCCCCCCCCCCCACTTCCTATTCCCTCTCTGCACTCTCAATTCATGCTCACTTTCATACACTGGATGTCAAGATTTATATGCTTAGTCATGGATTAGCAGGAAGTAACCTATCCTCTTGTGATTGGTGGTCTCAGGAGGATGACTATGGTTCAGAGGAGGTAGAGCACCTCAAGTCCCTGGTCTCTACCCTCCGCCAGCTGCTGGACCTCTACAACAAGTACAACTGCAAGCTCTCCTTGTCAGTCTTTGAGAAGGTCTGTGTGTGAAAGCCATCTGGGGATTGTCTGGTTTGGATTCTCATCCTGTTGTTTTAAATCTTGTTGAAATTCTGTATGTTATTGTACATGGTATCTCTCTATCTGCCCTGCTGGGATGTTTAGGCAAGTATCCGCAGCGTAGCGTTCCTCATGCTGGATAAAGTGCCTGCCCCAGAACTAATCCCTGCCACGGTGGAGAGCAGCGTCAGGCCCTACAGCCTGGAGCACCAGCTGCCCCTGGATGAGCTGCTGCTACAGTACATCAAGGTGTTTACCTATCCACCAGGAGACACACTTTACTATGCATTCCACTTGGCTGCTCATATTATAAATTGTTGACTGTCAGACATCATCTGATTTGAGTCATTGCGTGTGATTTAGACACATTTTTCTCTCTATACCACTGTAGGATCTGCTGGAGCGCTGCAGCTCCCAGACCACTACGTTGTTCACAGAGTGGGAGGCCAAAGCCGTGGCTGTGCTAGGCTGCATCACGGACACTGATGTGAGTTTAAACACTCTAATAAACCACTTCCTGCCCTTCAAGGCTTGGCCACCAAATTAGATTGTAGATTTATGTACACGTTTTGATTGACATACTGCGCACTTAGTATTCAGCTGTTTTCAACTGTGCTGTGCCGTGTACAGCTGGTGGTAGACGCTGTGCTGGAGATCATGCAGAAGGCTGTGGTGCCCTGGACTGAGGTAGTGGAGAGGCTGGTCCAACAGCACCTGGAGATGGAGGGACCCAAGTAAGACTTACTGATCTGATCCTCCTCTGGTAACAGAGAGCCCTGCCACTTGTCACAGTTGTAGGCTTGTAGGGCCTCCCGAGTGGCGCAGCGGTCTAAGGCATCGCAGTGCTGAGGCGTCAGGCTGTGTCACTGCCAGCCGTGACCGGGAGACCCATGAGTCGGCGCACAATTGGCCCAGCGTCGTCCGGGTTAGGGGAGGGTTTGGCTGGCTGGGATTTCCTTGTCTCATCGTGCTCTAGCGACTCCTTGTGGCGGGCCGGCCGCCTGCAAGCTGACTTCGGTCGTCAGTTGGACGATGTTTCCTCCGACACATTAGTGCGGCTGGCTTCCGGGTTAAGTGAGCAGTGTGTCAAGAAGCAGTGCGGCTTGGCAGGGTCGTGTTTCGGAGGATGCATGGCTTTCGACCTTTGCCTCTCCCGAGTCCGTAGGGGAGTTGCAGCAACGAGAGAAGACTGTTACTACCAATTGGATACCACGAAATTGGGGAGAAAAAGGGGTTCAACATAAAATACAAATAACAGTTGTAGGCTTGGGTTTTGATCTTCCACATCCTATCCAATCCCACAGGCAGGAGCTTCTGAAGGAAAGCTACCGTCTGATGGAGATGAGGAAGCTGCTCAGAGGCTACGGGATCCGCAACTTCAACCTCTCCAACAACACTCAAATCATGGTAGGACTTTCAGGGTGCTTACAGTATGTAGATGTGTGTATTTATGTCATTTCTGATCCATGTTGATTCTCCCCCTGTAGACACTGGTGAGGTACATCCTCAAGCAGGACCTCCCCACCTCCCTGGAGGACTCTCTGAAGCTGGCTGGGGCCTACAAACTCCCCACCTCCCAGATACACATCTTGTACCTCATCCAGCTGATTAGCCAGAGCAAGGTACACTATGTGAGCCCAGCCTACAGCTCCTCCCATGGTGGCTGTTGCTTTCTGATGGGGAATCTCTTTTGTTCTGTGTGTTGCATGTGTGTAATGTCTGTGTGTTGGTTCCTATTTGCAGAGTGAGCCATGTGTGACCCTCCTGAAAAAGCTTGCCCCTGCGGAGGCAGAGTGTGTGATCGAGAGGCTGGCTAACTGGGCACGACTGGAGTTGCAGGACAAAGACCATGTGTCTGAGGAGGTGAGGCTCTTTCAGGGGCAGTAGGGGTGTATTTGCATTTAGCAGATTTAAGACTATTCAAGTTCCATCATGGTGCATTGACATCTGCGTTTAATAGGTTTGATATAATTTTGAAATACAGTGTTTAGTAGTGATGTTCTGTACATGCCTTTTCTCCATTTTAGTATACTCTTCATGCAGATTCACTTGCATTCTTATTGTGGCCAATTTCTAATAGCACAAGAAGCACCAGATGGTCATAGCACAAGTGATGGTGGAGGCACTGAAGTTCTTACAGAGGATCCAGAAAGGTAGTGGCAGCTTTTAAACTATATCAATACAGTACTTGAAAAGACTGATTGCTAAACCTCCCAATATTGAAGATTCACAGTGTCTGAGGTCTTGATAAACTATGAATGTACCAGAGAGTTTGTATGGATGTGCTAAGAAACCTTTACGCATGGAGTTGACAGCTTGTGAACATGCTAATTTTCTCCCGGTTAGGGGATGCCTTTAAAAGTGTGGATTGCGAGAACAATTTGATGATGTTTAAGGCGATTGCTCACCTACAGGTAAGGTTCAATCATGGAATGATTTTGCAATATGTGAGATGAAGGCCTCACCTGACTCACTTTGTCTGGTCTTTGACCTCCTCTGCTGAAAGCCTCCTAATATACTCCATTTCCAGGAGGACTTTGACATCTTCCTCACCCCCAACAACTATGAGGACCCCAAGGTGCGAAAGCAGTTCCAGGAGCATCACATCACAGCCTATGAGAACACCCGTGCTCGAGGTCCCTCCAAGAGCAAGGTCACAGCCACCCCAATGGTGGCCAACGACCCTGACGGCAAGACCAAGACCATCTCCACCGAGGCCGGCCTCCGCCGCTTGGCACGGCAGCTCCAGCGCACGGAGCAGGAGCTGTGGGCTGACTTGGCCCTGCGTGCCCTGGGGGTCGGCAAGGTCGACAAGGCCCTCAAGATCCTCAGGTCAGGGGGGCGGGGAACCAAGTTTGGGGGAGGGGGGGGGGGGTAATTAATTTGGCATGAGGTAAAGAAAAGCTTCGATGTGTTCCGAGAATGACAGGGCCCCTCTTTTTTTATTTATTATTATAATTTTTTTTTATGAAGGTTTGTCATAATCTGAATATCTCATCCACAACATTTAAGTGTTTGATGGTAGTGTGGGCTTTTGCACTACATTAACCTTGGGTACCTCCTTGAATTTGTCTCTCACTCCCCTCAAACCCCTGACCCTGTTCCTACAGTGAGCTGTATGAGCACCATGGGACCACCAGCACAGGGAAGGTGCTTTTCAGCGCTGCCCAGAAGCTGTGCCAGATGCTTGAGGCAGACGTGCCCATGATCCTCCCTGAGGGCGTGGACCTCCCAGCAGTCATCCACAAGCTGGCCTGCCAGGCCATCACTGTCTGCCACTCAGGTACTGTACAGAACGAACGCCCTGAGCCTGGAGGCTAACTCGTGGCTTTATGGGATCTCCCACATTTTCATTTTAGAAGGAGCCTATCCTCCAATTAATTGTGTAAGTAGTTTACATAATGTGATACTGTATGACTTCAGCACCCTGGTAAGTGATACCTCTGACTTGAGTTTGGGCTCCCTATTGTTTCTCTCAGACCTGCTCCTAGACTGTGTGGAGCTGTGTAAGAGCACACGGGCTGCTATGGATGTCTACCACCAGTGTCAGCTGTCAGACAACTATGGCTTCATAGCAAAGGTGAGTGCCAGTACTACACTTCACTTTGCCCCATCAAAGACTACCAGATTCTTACCAGAGACCTCAATGACAATCCTCTAATCAATAGATTATAATATTAGAGATTCACTTAGAAAGAGAGTCTTTGTTCGTGTTGGGTCATCAGGCTTTAATGTCACTGCCATGTGTTCAGGATTTGTCCCTGGCGGCTGAAAAGGACCCGTACTCCCAGTGGAGCTTCCAGGATGTCTTTAATGAGGACTGCATCATCCTGGACCCTGTGTCTGTCCTGCCGGTCCAGTATGAGATCACCAACTGTCTGCTGCCTTTCTCCTCAGGTATCTTTTTTAACAATGTATCACGTGTGATGTTATACACCTTTTATAATGTCCAACCACTAAGGTATCTATATTAATTGCATTAACTCATGTTAATTCATGTTGCAGATAGAAAGCTTTACCCACTGGACTGCTCCTGTCTTTCTCACTGCTCTTTCGAACAAGGTAGCTACTGCAGTTTCCTCCAATTAATAGACTGATATAAATGCCGTTTTTATGCAGCCTTACCCTCATGACTCCTTGTCCACGTACAGATGCCAACTTCCTGAACCCCCTACTGGTGCCCCTGGCCTCCATGCATCAGATGCTGCAGGAGTGTAGTCAATTGGAGCTGGCCCTAAGACTGCTGGTCAACTCCTTTGGCAGCTGTCTGCAGCACGTCACCTCCAACATCATGGACGTCAAGCTTGGCATTCAGGTATGATGGCTACAGTACAGCACCAACGTCAAAATGATGATGTTTTTCAGGTGTTTTAAATGTTTTATTGTAGAGCAGAGGTATAAATGCATACAAATGTACATTTGAATGAGACATTTTTTGTTGTTGCATAAATGACAACATGAACATACAAAAAATTACACCAGAAGTATAACAGCAGGATATCAGTGCAAGAGTTTTAGCACATTTAAACAATGGATATATCAAAAACAGTGAAGTAAAAAGCAGACTCAAGACAAAGCAGAAACCCCCCAGTGTGGTACCCCTGTTAGCCTCCCCACCCTGTGTTTTCCAGGTGTTTTGTACAGATAGTTTCATGTGTTTGTGAAGCAGACTTAGGAAAGTGACATTGTCAGAGGTGTACTGTAGTGTCTCACCTGGAACTATAAGCAAGCAATCCCTTGATCAGTCTTTGCATTTCTGTTGCTACATATCTCTGTCTAGGTTTACACTGTGTCTGTACTCTGGACCACTACTCTACATTGTATTGTGATGGGAAGTATTTACATTTTACATGTTCCCTTTTCAGCTCTACGGCCCGCAGGCCCTACAAAAATATAAGGCTTGCTTGAGTGATTTGAGAACAACTACTCTGTCCTCTATCAATGCTGTTGCAGTTGCCCTCCTGCACAAGGTGATGTGAGACTACTGTCCTGGATGTCAGACTTTCTTCACTTCAGTAAATTACATTGTATTCTGGCCATGCTGTCTGTGTAATTTACAATATACCTAAAATGATAACTATAACAACTGGTGTTTTTGCTCTGTGCTAAAGGTGTTTAACTGGAGAGTGGTGGATTGTGACCTGGCTATTGGACTCTGCACTCTCCTGTCCAAAACCGAGGTGTTGAAGATACTGTGGAAGGTGATCGACAACACCTGGCAAAACTATGATAAGATCTTGGTAGGATCATTACACTTATTTACTGTCATGAAATGTTCCATCTTGAATTGTTTGTCATCATTTTGATTCATGTTGTATGTGACAAAGTCAGTATATCTCCATGATTTCAGGCTGTGGCTATGGTGGGGGCCCATCTCTGTAGCTTGTACTGCGAGCAGGAGGAGCGGAAGAAGTTTCTCTCTGTCATCACCGACGCCGAGTGGGGAATCGAGCTGGGCAAATTAGGGGTCTGTTGAAGCTCTTCAGTGTCGTTTTTCCCTATTTATTTGAAATTAGCAGTCTTTCAGATATTGCTGGTTTTCTGAAGAAATCTTGATTTTAAACTTTGCATTAATACCTGCTAATTAGTTGCATTTTTAACAATTTACCCTCCCCGCTTTGCAAGAGGACTCGGTTTAAAAGCCATGTCTCTCTCCCCAGATATCCATCCAGCCTGTGTTTCGTCAGTGTCCAGAGATGAAGAGTAACCTCATCCCTACCCTGGTGAAGAACAAGAACACCACCCCTGAGATTATCCTCCAGTACTGCAGGTGAGCTGTTATAGAAAGTCACATGCAACTTCAATCTTTAGTTTTTGGGTCTGATACTACTGCATGCTTTGCTTACTAGTAAATAGTAGACCAAGTAGTTGCCTATTGCTGTCTTGTGACGTTACGCTGTAATTAATGTGTGTATGTATGTCCTGTGTGTTCCTCCTACCTGCAGCACCTTTGGTCTGAACAGAGACGGAGTGATAAACCAGTACATCACCACCCTGCTGCTGCAGGAAGAGGAGGAGGAGGGGGGTGGCAGGAGACCCTGGGGCAGGCCAGGGGGAGGAGCAGCCGCTGGGGCACGCAGACGCCCTGGAGAGAGCCCTGCAGATCATCCCTATGCTGCACAGCACCAGAAACCTCACCATCAGCCTCAGTGCTGCCATACTCAAGGTCTGAGCACAAGCAAATCTCAGCCTACGTTTAGGGGTTGGTGGTATGTTGTAATGATGTGTAGAGAAAATAGTGTTTAACTCTTGCGTTCCCTTTCCTCCTCAGCTTAGCCCATATAACTATGAGAGGATTGAGGGGGTGCTCAGGATCATACAGACAGCTGATGAGCAGATCACCAGCCTCCCAATCAGTCAGGTGTGGCGTCTTGATGTCTCATTTATCTTTGTGCTACATACCTCTGCTAAATAAGTGTAATCCTCAATGTCAGATTTTCTTTGGCATTTCGATCAAGTCTCGTCCACGATCAAGTCCCTCTCATCTCCAGGCAATAGGTCTGCTCCAGCACCTGAAGTCCTACAAGCGCATATCTCCCCCCACAGACCTGGAGAGCAGCCACCTTCTGGAGAATGGCCTGGAACCCTCGGCCCTGGCCAACACCAGACTGCCCTTCCACCTGCTCATGCAGACCACCAACTACTGGAAGATCATCTGTGAGTACCATGCTCAGTATAAGCTTACAATGTTCATGTGGTCAGTAAGTCTTCATAAATAAATCATTGAGTAGACCCTTAAGAATTTGCGTACTCTAGCTCCTATAGGGATTGAGGGATTCTCTTTCTGTGTTTAGCTCCAGAGCTCAGTGAGGAGACCTTTCCTACTCTGCTTCTGATAAGCAAGCTGATGAAGGTACAGTACTCTGCTCCACTGGTGGCTGTGGTTTATACTGTATATTACTGTTATGTTTTGTTTTTAGATATGAGTGGTAGGCCTACCAGAATTTGAACTACAGTATTAACGGTGTATTAGTTGTTTCTTTTGATTTTAATTTGGTCACCTGTGAATTTGACCCTACTTCTTCCTGCCTTCTGTCAGGTGAACCTTGACAAGCTGTACATGTCAGCGGTGAACCACGTGTTTGAGAGGAGTATGAAGCCCTTACTCCTGAAGCAACATAAGAGGGGGCAAAAACACACCTCCAGCAAGGAGACCTTCAAGGTGGCTAAGACCATCATGGGGTACATCCACTGCATCCAGAACCCAGAGTGGGCCGCTGCCACAGCCCATAAAATCGCTCAGGAGCTGCCTCCAGGTCAGACTGTTAGCCAATCAGGCACTGCCATGCCACTGTTCATGGAGGAGACGGCCTCTGCATCAATGTTCATCCTATTAACTTTTTTGCATGTGTTTTTTTTCCCTTCTCTTCGTTAGGCACTGAGAAGACCCAGTCACTAAAGTTCTGCCTAGCTCTTGGTGATGCATGGTTGAAGGACCCAAAACTTGAGGTTAGACCACATATGTTTTGTTTTTATATTGTGTTGATGCTCTGAGGTCCTCAATGTTTATCCATAATCCATCCATGTTTAACTATTATAGATGTAGTTATGTCTGTTATGTCTGCGTCAGCTGCTTGAATTCAGGATATCCAGTCTTGTTTTCCCTTTCATGTATTTTTTATTCTTCTATCCAGTCCATTCTTGTACAATAAGAATTGTCTCTCCCCTCCTCTTGTCCCCTGAGCAGGAGGCAGCTAGGACCAGGGTGGAAACCTTCCTGTCCAAGCTGAAGCTGCAGTTCCAGCGCTCGGCCACGGAGAACGCCCTGATGTCCAGCCAGCTGAACAGCCCAGAGCACCTGAAGCTGACAGGACAGCCCACCCGCCTCATCGTCACTCTGTACGAACACAGCAGTGTGGAGCAACGCTTCAGGGGCTCCGCTGGCCAAACCCACCCTGGTGAGCCCTCCACCATGACCAGGCCAACCACATGCAGGCCCACTCTTATTGCCATATGGCTCCATGTACACTTCTGAACGGCTAAGTGGAGCTACAGTATCACTGTATTGATGACATGTACCATAGTGCTTTTAGAACACTGAGGTGATGGGGGGGCTAAGGAGCAAAATGGAACCAGACTATTATTTTGTATATAATTCTTTATGGTTTATTCTTCATTTGTATGACTAGACATTCACGCTGTATGCAAAGAAATAGCAGCCATCAATAGTGTGGATTTTCTAAATATCCGAAGCGTGCTGCTGGAGAAATGGATCTGCAAAACCGGCCCGGCTGCAGCCAAGGTAAGTCCAACCCTACACTGTCTCTATGATCTGCCACAGAGACTGGATGGGCTCATCACTAGGGGGAAAATAGTCCATTTTGCAAGACATTTTGGAGTATGTGATACAGCCTAACCAAAGGCTCTTTATTTTGAAGGATATCAACAACCAGGATTGTGTCAATGACATTCAGGAGGATTCAGATCTTATGAGGTAGCTCCCTGCATTCATCACTTGACTATCATAGCCTTACATTTCACTATATCTCTCTTGTTAATGGTTTCTCCCATGTCTCTCTCTCTCTCAGGGTGGTGTACCTACTGCAGATCTATTCTATGGATGTGGGAGTCTGTCTGCTGAGCCCTATCCTTTCAGCAGAAACATGGGTGAGTTGGTAGATGGGATGGGTCAGAATTGGACGATAAGCCTTGTTCCTATAATAATCATTATATGTTCCACATTCTAGTTTGGAATCGAGGGCTGGTGGGAAACAGTAGGTACCCAGTGTCTTAACACGCTATGACACGGTCATAACCATGTCATATGTCATAACAGCAGACATCATTTGTCATAATATGGTCATAGCACTGTCATGACCCATATATTTACACCTGTTGTGACATATATTGCGTTATTCAAATTGATTCAAATTAGTTTTTTCCCTGTCAAGAAGTTTACTTTCGTTTTTAAAGTTTGTTTCTTGAATTCTTTAGTAATGTTTTTTTCATCATACTTTAAATAGCTTGTAGAAAATACACTTTATGACACTTTCATGAAGCATTATAACCATCCTGTGTCACTTTACTTGGACTAGGAAAATACACTTTATGACACTGTCAAGAAGCATTATGACCATCATAATCATATAAGCCAGATAGGCCTATCACGTACACTACCATTCAAAAGTTTGGGGTCACTTAGAAATGTCCTTGTTTTCCATGAAAACATACATTAAATGAGTTTGAATAGGAAATATAGCAAAATGCATAGGACATGTAGTCATTGACAAGGTTAGAAATAATGATTTTTAATTGAAATAATAATTGTGTCCTTCAAACTTTGCTTTTGTCAAAGAATCCTCCATTTGCAGCAATTACAGCCTTGCAGACCTTTGGCGTTCTAGTTGTCAATTTGTTGAGGTAATCTGAAGAGATTTCACCCCATGCTTCCTGCAGCACCTCCCACAAGTTGGATTGGCTTGATGGGCACTTCTTACGTACCATATGGTCAAGCTGCTCCCACAACAGCTCAATAGTGTTGAGATCCGGTGACTGTGCTGGCCACTCCATTATAGACAGAATACCAGCTGACTGCTTCTTCCCTAAATAGTTATTGCATAGTTTGGAGCTGTGCTTTGGGTCATTGTCCTGTTGTAGGAGGAAATTGGCTCCAAACAAGCGCCGTCCACAGGGTATGGCATGGCGTTGCAAAATGGAGTGATAGCCTTCCTTCTTCAAGATCCCTTTTACCCTGTACAAATCTCCCACTTTACCACCACCAAAGCACCCCCAGACCATCACATTGCCTCCACCATTCTTGACAGATGGCATCAAGCACTCCTCCAGCATCTTTTCATTTGGTCTGCGTCTCACAACTGTTCTTCTTTGTGATCCGAACACCTCAAACTTCGATTTATCTGTCTATAACACTTTTTTCCAATCTTCCTCTGTCCAGTGTCTGTGTTCTTTTGCCCATCTTAATCTTTTATTTTTATTGACCAGTCTGAGATATGGCTTTTTCTTTGCAACTCTGCCTAGAAGGTCAGCATCCCGGAGTCGCCTCTTCACTGTTGACGTTGAGACTGGTGTTTTGCGGGTACAATTTAATGAAGCTGCCAGTTGAGGACCTGTGAGGCGTCTGTTTCTCAAACTAGACACTTCATGTATTTGTCCTCTTGCTCAGTTGTGCACCGGGGCCTCCCACTCCTCTTTCTATTCTGGCTAGAGCCAGTTTACGCTGTTCTGTGAAGGGAGTAGTACACAACATTGTACGAGATCTTCAGTTTCTTGGCAATTTCTCGCATGGAATAGCCTTCATTTCTCAGAACAAGAATAGACTGACGAGTTTCTGAAGAAAGTTATTTATTTCTGGCCATTTTGAGCCTGTAATCGAACCCACAATTGCTGATGCTCCAGATACTCAACTAGTCTCAAGAAGGCCAGTTGTATTGCTTCTTTAAATCAGCACAACAGTTTTCAGCTGTGCTAACATAATTGCAAAAGGGTTTTCTAATGATCAATTAGCCTTTTTAAAATGATAAACTTGGATTAGCAAACACAACGTGACATTGGAACACAAGACTGATGGTTGCTGATAATGGGCCTCTGTACGCCTATGTAGATATTCCATATAAAATCAGCCGTTTCCAGCTACAATAGCCATTTACGACATGAACAATGTCTTCACTATATTTCTGATCAATTTGATGTTATTTTAATGGACATAAAAATTGCCTTTCTTTCGATTCCATATGTGTTATTTCATAGTTTTGATGTCTTCACTATTATTCTACAATGTAGAAAATAGTAAAAATATACAAAAACCCTTGAATGAGTAGGTGTTCTAAAACTTTTGACTGGTACTGTATGTCTCAAAAGGTCTAAATATAGGTGTCATGACAGTGTTATGACATATTATGACTTGGTTATGACAGTATCATAACGTGTTATGATGCTGGTTGTCAAGTAAAGTGTTACCCAGAATTGTGTATGTCAAAGTGTTGAATTCCCATTGTTGATATTTCTTCCTAGCCCCTCAGCAGTTCCGGCCCACGTCTTACTTTCTGCCACCGGAGTCGGGCCCTGCTTTGTCTCATCCACATTGCTGACCCCACCACCCTGGAAACCCAGCTACACATCCCCAAGACACAAGTCCAGTAAGCGCTCCTCACTCAGATAAAGGCCAGGAAATCAGTAGCCATGACTTCAGTTTCAGTTTCTTGTCATTCAGTTTCTGTACCTGACTGCTGATGGTCTGTTGCTGTGCTGTTTTTCCTCCTACAGGTATTACCTGAAGTGCTACATCTACCTGTCTCAGCTGGAGGACTTAAACATCCCTTACACAGTGGAATCATTCCTCAACAGTCCCAAAGAGGGCATGGTCAAGGGGCTGTGGAAGAATCACAGTCATGAGCCACAGGTAGGCCTACTCTATCTATGTAATGTATGCTTTAGGTGATTTCAGTTGATTTTATTCAATGTGATGCAACCAAGACAGGGTAATCAGGTTTGTATTGAGCTGAAGTCGCCCCCTGTCTCTGCAGGCTGTGCGTCTGGTGGCAGACCTTAGCCTGGAGTACCAGGTGTTTGACCCTCAGCTGTGGAATGGGTTACTGCAGAAACTACTGGGCTTCAACATGGTGAGAAGAGGCAGTCTACACACAGTTTCAAGAACAATACTACTGCTAGAAATAATAGATTCTACAGCCTGTCATGTCAATCAAGTTATATGGCATTAAGACAGGATATGTTGTTGTGGCACTAAATGTGGTTTTCCCATCTGCTCTTCAGATAAGCTACTTGCAAAAGGTATTGGAGGCACTGGGAGCTGTCCCCTCTCTCTGGCAGGTAATTACAACCAGGTTCAGCGTGTGTCTCAAGGAGCCGATGATGTACATTTTTTAGGGAGATAACATTCACATCCACCACCTACGCTTTTGGCTTGGACAGTTCTTGATAAAGCTGTGTTCTTTCTTTTCCATCCAGGTCTCCAGTTTTTCCAGGACCTGGAGGAGTATGATCCTGGCCCCATTCGTATCAGGTAAATTACTCTATTAGACCCCAACTCAAAAATATGAGGGTGAGGTGGAGAAAACCACTGTCTTTGTGAATTTGCTGACTATGTTCTCTGTCACACAGCGTCTCTTCCTCTGAGTCCCCAACAGCAGGCAACACTCTACAGGACCTTTGTTCTCCTCCTTAAGTACGTTCTGTTGCTTTATAGAATAGGTTGATAACCAACTGTCACATAGGGGTCAAGAAGGGTGTCATGGCATTACCATGGTAACATCACTACATAATAATCCTGCTCATCCCGCCATCTTCCCTGGTCTCTGGCAGGTGCCCGTTCCTGTTGAATCTGGACCTGATAGGCATCGCCAATCGCTTTGCCCAGTTCAGTCTGCCTGGCTTTGCCCTTGGTGCCCTCCTGCTCATCCCCTGTGCCAAGAGGAAGGGGCAGCAGATTCAGGTGAGGCAGCTGGGTCTGGGGCTTCCATAAGGATAGTGGTGGTAGGGGCCCACTACCAGCCCCCTAACACATCTGCCCTTTACCAAATTGTTATCTGCATCTTTAGATGGAATTACATTCAATTGTTGTGGTTTAACAATAGCCACAAACTGTCCAAGAATCTGAGTAAAACTATTAAAGGTATTGGTAGTGTCTCTGCATGAGTCTCTTCCCCCTGTTTGATGTGCTTACTGTGTAGTGTATATGAATGCTCCCTCCCAGGGTCTCCTGTCAGCCTGTAACCCCATCACCATCCTGGAGCAGGTGGATGAGCATATGAACACTGGGGAGTTGGCAGGGGTTCCCTCACAGGTGAGCTGCTATCACTTTTTCGTATTGCCTTCATTGGTCAACCACTGTTGGCTCTACTGTATGTGTGATTCCATCTGTTTTCTGTAATCTTTTACACATCTGATTATTTTGTGTTTTGAGAAAAGTTGTATGGAACTCAATGTGTGTAATTAACTGATTTCTTCTCCACCCCAGATAAGGGACACAGTCTTGACATTCATTTGCCAAAACGGGCAGTACCAGAAGCTGTGGAAGACCAAGCACTTCAATCTTCTCAAGCAACACATTGTGTCAAGTGGTGACTCCAACCAGGTGAAGGACCTGGTAGATTATTTGATCTCCCACAGCTGGTAAGTCCTCAAAGCAGTAATTTTACGAGCATTATTTGATGTATAATAGTATTGAATGAAAGTGTTAACCTCACACTCCAGGCAGGTATGAGTAGAGAAATGTTTGTTTCTATTATACGTAATTACTTGAATCCTTACCCTTTGTTGACCTCTGGTGTTCAGTGAGGAGGATGCCAACTCCCTGGCCCATGAGTATCTGAGACGCAGGGAGCGTAAAGGGAAACTAATACCAGACAGGTCCCCTGCATCAAGCGCCCTGAAGGTAACTATAGTCAGCAATCCTTTATAACATAAATTGATATTAGCATGGCATTCTTTTGTTTTAAAACATACTTGTTTATATATGTTACTAATGTGAAATGATATATATATATATATATATGCCATTTAGCAGACACTTTTATCCAAAGCGACTTAGCCATGCATGCATACATTTTTTTTGTATGGATGGCCCCAGTGGGTATCAAACCCAACTGAGCCACACAGGAGCACAAATATGTAATATCACTTTTTTTGGTGGGCTTGTGTTGCAGAAGTTTCTCAGCATCGATATAGACAGATAAATAAATGGTGTGGATATGAACAGGATGAAGAACACATATGGGACATGCAATATATTCACAGTATGTTTATTCTACTTTGTCTGTCTTTGGGCTACAAATGCAATGTTTGCACTTACTGTCTCCTTACTCAATTTTTTCACATGTAATATTCACTGTCTAGCTATTTTATAAATAACTCTGTGTACTAAACATTGTTTCTTGTGAAATGATTCATTTTCCAAGACGAGGAAGATTTTGTAATGGAATGATTAATGATAATGACATATTTTTTTACAACATACACTATTAGTAAGCAATATAAAAAGTTTGCAACAGTTATTTTAGTTAAAGCATCAATTAACATTTTAGTCATTTAGCAGACGTTCTTATCCAGAGAGACTTGCTTTTTAACTTCAAATTCATGTTCTGCACCATACCAGTCTGTCTTGCCTACATGTGTGAAAACGGTGATTTTCTACATTCTGTAGTCAAAAATATATGAAAGAAACATTTGTTAGAAAGAATGATCAATTTTATTTGGATATACCATATACAGTGCATTCGGAAAGTACGGTAGAGGATCTGCAGATGGTCATACTATCTGTTCATAAGCAAATGCTTGCTGAGGTCAGGGTTAGATTTAGAATAAGGGTAAGGGTTAACCTCATCAGGCCAGAGGACCCCAGCAAAAACATTCACTACTTTAATTTATCTGCATGTCCAGCCCTTATATTTAGCCTGAGAAGGAAGTGTTTTACCATTTCCTTTTCAGGACAACCAGGGTACAAGTGGAACACAAATCAATTTGACATACAGTGAGGGGAAAAAATTATTTGATCCCCTGCTGATTTTGTATGTTTGCCCACTGACAAAGACATGATCAGTCTATAATTTTAATGGTAGGTTTATTTGAACAGTGAGAGATAGACTAACAACAACAAAATCCAGAAAAATGTCAAAAATGTTATAAATTGATTTGCATGGCAATAAGTATTTGACCCCTCTGCAAAACATGACTTAGTATTTGGTGGCAAAACCCTTGTTGGCAATCACAGAGGTCAGACGTTTCTTGTAGTTGGCCACCAGGTTTGCACACATCTCAGGAGGGTCTTCTCCAAGTCATTAAGGTTTCGAGCCTGACGTTTGGCAACTCGAACCTTCAGCTCCCTCCACAGATTTTCTATGGGATTAAGGTCTGGAGACTGGCTAGGCCACTCCAGGACCTTAATGTGCTTCTTCTTGAGCCACTCCTTTGTTGCCTTGGCCGTGTGTTTTGGGTCATTGTCATGCTGGAAATCCCATCCACGACCCATTTTCAATGCCCTGGCTGAGGGAAGGAGGTTCTCACCCAAGATTTGACAGTACATTGCCCCGTCCATCGTCCCTTTGATGCGGTGAAGTTGTCCTGTCCCCTTAGCAGAAAAAACACCCCCAAAGCATAATGTTTCCACCTCCATGTTTGACGGTGGGGATGGTGTTCTTGGGGTCATAGGCAGCATTCCTCCTCCAAACACGGCGAGTTGAGTTGATGCCAAAGAGCTCCATTTTGGTCTCATCTGACCACAACACTTTCACCCAGTTCTCCTCTGAATCATTCAGATGTTCATTGGCAAACTTCAGACGGGCCTGTATATGTGCTTTCTTGAGCAGGGGGACCTTGCGGGCGCTGCAGGATTTCAGTCGGCGTAGTGTGTTACCAATTGTTTTCATGGTGACTATGGTCCTCTGTAGCTCAGTTGGTAGAGCACGGCGCTTGTAACGCCAAGGTAGTGGGTTCGATCCCCCCGGGACCACCCATACACAAAAAATTTATGCACGCATGACTGTAAGTCGCTTTGGATAATTGCGTCTGCTAAATGGCATATTTATGGTCCCAGCTGCCTTGATCATTGACAAGATCCTCCCGTGTAGTTCTGGGCTGATTCCTCACCGTTCTCATGATCATTGCAACTCCACAAGGTGAGATCTTGCATGGAGCCCCAGGCCGAGGGAGATTGACAGGTATTTTGTGTTAATTCCATTTGCGAATAATCGCACCAACTGTTGTCACCTTCTCACCAAGCTGCTTGGCGATGGTCTTGTAGCCCATTCCAGCCTTGTGTAGGTCTACAATCTTGTCCCTGACATCCTTGGAGAGCTCTTTGGTCTTGGCCATGGTGGAGAGTTTGGAATCTGATTGATTGATTGCTTCTGTGGACAGGTGTCTTTTCTACAGGTAACAAGCTGAGATTGGGAGCACTCCCTTTAAGAGTGTGCTCCTAATCTCAGCTCGTTACCTGTATAAAAGACACCTGGGAGCCAGAAATCTTTCTGATTTGAGAGGGGGTCAAATACTTATTTCCCTCATTAAAATGCAAATAAATTTATAACATTTTTGACATGTGTTTTTCTGTTGTTATTCTGTCTCTCACTGTTCAAATAAACCTACCATTAAAATTATAGACTGATCATTTCTTTGTCAGTGGGCAAACGTACAAAATCAGCAGGGGATCAAATACTTTTTTCCCTCACTGTAAACAGTTGCATTTATGAGTATTATGTCAATAAAAATATAAGGTCAATCAAGCAAAAACCTGATTTAAAAAATGTATTCATAAGAAATTACAGAAATTGTTTGCTCAGTGGGAAATGAATATCCAACCAGTCAGTGACCACTGTGTGGATTTTTGAATTTGTGACAGCAACTATGTGAGCTTATTAAAGTATTATAGACACTATGTCCTGGGATTTCCTATGATCTAACTGCTCTTGTGTGGCTTGTGAGTGTCAGCAAAACCGATTACATGTATTTGTGATTCAGCTTTTCATAGATGGTTCATAATATTTTGTAGCCCAAACCATTCAGACTTTACAGAAGTTTTTGTGAGAACTGCCCCCGTACCCCTTTGGGATCAGCCCTTGTCTCACAAACACAGCTCTAGCCCCACAAACACAGCTCTAGCCCCACAAACACAGCTCTAGCCCCACAAACACAGCTCTAGCCCCACAAACACAGCTCTAGCCCCACAAACACAGCTCTAGCCCCACAAACACAGCTCTAGCCCTGTTAATCACACAGACTAATGGTTTGTAGCAATGGATGCAGAAGAAATAGACGAATCCAATGGTACAGCTCAAACACGCAATGTTTTAAAAGGGGTTTGAAGTCCAAAACGCGCCAGTGTCACGTTGGGACTAGGAGTTAAAGGCCCAGTGCAGTCAAAATTAGTATTTTCCATGTGTTTTGTATCATATTGTACAACTAACTAACACAAAAAGTGTGGAACAATTTGATCAGCCATCACCAGGCAGTAAATCACCAGGCTGTAAATTAGTTATTAGACCAATAAGAAACGTTAAAAACCTCTGCCAATAACGGCTAGTTTTCAGTTTTTCCCTCCCTACTGATACCACTCCTAGACAGCCCTAGCAAAATTCTTGCTTGAGAAATTGCTTTCTTGCTAAGAAGCAAATTTTATTTTTTGACAATTTTTTTGTTGTTGTTGAAAACAATAAGGTACCTAATTTTTACACAAATTATTTGATATTGAGATAAAAAGGTTAGGGTTAGTTGTTGACTGTTATTGACCATCTACAAACCATCGATGTGGTACTATCCAAATAAAGTGTTCCCGAAAGAATATCTTCATGCTCTGGTTTCTATGTATGATGTTCTTGTCACATAGGAATTATACAGCATTGTGACATAAACCACATAATGAAATGTATTGTACCATGAGAAATGAAAAACAGAAAATACGAACGGCATGTTCAGAAGTAAATGGTCCATGGAGTAAATGGATATGATCATCATAATTTCAATTAAAAGGAAATACTATTACATTTACAAAATAGTAATTTAGCATTCACTATTGACACCTTAATATCAGATATACACTACTGGTGAAAAGTTTTAGAACACCTACTCATTCAAGGGTTTTTCTTTATTTTTACTATGTTCTACATTGTAGAAGAATAATAGTGAAGACATCAAAACTATGAAATAACACATATGGAATTGAGATGGTTTGGGATGAGACGGACCGCAGAGTGAAGGAAAAGCAGCCAACAAGTGCTCAGCAAATATGGGAACTCCTTCAAGACAGTTGGAAAAGCATTCCAGGTGAAGCTGGTTGAGAGAATGCCAAGAGTGTGCAAAGCTGTCATCAAGGCAAAGGGTGGCTATTTGAAGAATCCCTAATATAAAATATATTTTGATTTGTTTAACACTTTTTTGGTTACTACATGATTTCATGTATTATTTCATCGTTTTGATATCTTCACTATTATTCTACAATGTAGAAAATAGTAAAAATAAAGAAAAACCCTTGAATGAGTAGGTGTTATAAAACCTTTGACCGGTAGTGTACATTTTAAGTGTCTTGACTTTTTAAAATGTCTGTTGGCTTATGGCAAGAGCTTTGTTCTCCTCTGGCAGTTATTTTCTTTGGCTTGTGAAGTGTCTCTGAATAGATGTTTGATCACCAAACACCTGCAGCCACTGTCGCACCTGACTGAGACATTGAGAGCCTTGAGATTTATTGACCACTGCGCTGCTCATGCCTACTCTTTTCTGTCTCAGACTGAACCTTAAGACCTTCTTATAGATCCTCTTGAAGGATGGGCTAAAGAAGTAGTAGACTACAGGATCCAGCATGCTATTGAGGTAGGCCAGACTGATAGTGATATAGAATGCAGTGTCCAAGACCTTTTGGACATCACAGTCCTTTTTGCTATCGGTGGAAGCAGTTCCTGTGTTCTTCATCCAGATCAATAGACGTGTGATGTTGCTTGGGAGGAAGCAGACCCCGAACATGGCTGTAACGACACCTAGGCACTGTTGCACTCGGCGCATCCTAGCTTCCCTGTCCAGATGTCTCGCCCGCAGCTGCAGCTGGCCTGAGATCCGCTTGGTGCATTAGACTGAGATACCAGGAACTCCAGAAAGAAATACCAGGAACTCCAGAAAGAACACAGCATTGTGCAGTTTGTTCTTGTTGGTGAAACTTTCACACTTTGTGGAGTTCCCAGCTTTGAACTGGTGAGTGTTGCTCAGAAGGTGTGTTCAGGGAGATGGTGTGGGCCAACTGCACCACACACTGCCTTAGAGAGGCTCATGGAGTTGAATGGGTGGCGGGGATGGACCACACGCATGTACCTGTCCAGTGCTACAGCCATCAGGAAGAAAACACTTCCTCCACGATTCATAGCCAACATGAAGAAGGACATACGACAGACTGTATCTCTAAGCTTCAAGTCCATCCCTTAGATGTAGTAACTGGCACGGAAGGGCAGGGCCACGTTCAGCAGAAAGTCAGCCAGTGCCAGGTTAAACAGGAAGACAGTGCTGCTCTTCCAGGGCTTCACGTGGTCCAGAGAGCCAGGCCGTTACCAAGAATA